GACGAAGCTGGTGATGCGCCCTCGAGTTGGCGACGACGCGTGGTGACGATACTGCATCGCGATGTGGTCCCACTATCGATCCCACTCGGTCGACCTCACCATTGAGACACCACCAGGGCACCATGAGGCCAAATTAATGCCACCACTCCTGTACTGTGATGGTTGGTGCTAAGTGTGATGGCTGGCTGCTGATGGCAAGGTGATGACCGCAGTGGTGATGAGTGCCGCGGCGACAGCAACGGTGGCAGTGCTGAGTACGATCGGAATACCATCGGAATACAATCGGTCCAAGTAAAAGCCACCACCACTGCGTTGCGATGGCAATGTGACGATGCGGCGTTGCGATGTGATCTCACCACCGATAACACTCGATCGACCTCACCATCTAGACACCATCAGGACACCATCAGGTCACCATCGATCTCACGATTGACCCCATTATCGAAATATCGATCTCGCTATCGGTCTCACTCGATGGATTCCACCATCGCTCTCACTCGATCGATATCACTGGACATCTCACTCTAGATCTCAATAATGATCCCATTATCGACCTCACTATCGATCTCACGATCGACCTCACTGACGGTTTCACTATCGACCTCACCACGGGACACCACGGGACACTGACGACACTCAAACTGGACACTGAAAGGACACCGACGGGACACCCGCGTGACACCGACGGGACACCCGCGGGACACCACGGGACACCATCGGCACACCATCGGGACACCAATCGATCTCACTTTCGATCTCCCTATCGATCTCACTCGGTCGGTTTCCCTATCGATCTCACTCGATCGATCTCATATCGATTTCACCATCGCTCACATGACCGATCTCACTATCGACATCACAATCGATCTCACGATGGATCTCACCATAGATCCCACCACGCGACACCACAAGACACCGACGGGACAGCGAGGGGATACCCGCGGGACACCGACAGGACACCGACGGGACACCGATGGGACACCACTGGACACCATCAGGACATTATCGGGGCGCCAATCGATCTCACTTTCGATCTCCCCATCGATCTCACAATCGGTCTTACTACCGATAGCACTGGCTCGATCTCACGATCGATCCCACTATCAGCTTCATTATCGATCTCGCGATCGATCTCACCACGGGACACCGACGGGACATCGACGCGACACCGACGGAACACCGACGGAACACCGACGGGACACCAACGAGACACCGACGGGACACCGACGGAACTCCGACGGGACACCGACAGGACACCGACAGGACACCGACAGGACAACGACGGGACTGCGACGGGACTGCGACGGGACTGCGACGGGACACCAACGGGACACCAACGTGACACCGACGGGACACCGAAGGGACACCACGGCGGGACAACCCGGCCACTGCACGCCCACCGCGCGGGAGAGGCCGACAGCGACGGGACACCACGGCGGGACAACCCGGCCACCGCCCGCCCACCAGGGAGGAGGGGCGGTCAACGGCTCTTGACCCGCCCTACCCACAGCGGAGTAGTCATTCCTCTCGCCCACCCACGCAGCTTCGCCTCACCCGCACGCCCGACGCGAACCCGAAACCGAAACCGGCTTCCCGGTGGGAGGCCCTCCGTTCCACTTCGATCTCACCCCCAACCTCCGATACCCTACGTAACTAAGCACTACCAGTACATTGTTGGACCTGAGGTACATGAGAAAACGTTGTTGTTCCGTAGGGTTGCCGACATCACAGCCAGTTGCCAGGTCGAAGTGATCGCCCGTCGCCAGTTGGCGTCGGATTGCGATATGCGAGGTGCAGGCTTCGCCTCCGCACAATTCGCAAAGGTCCAGGCCCTAATTGTGGGTCGTGGCCATGGCTTGCTCGAGATTCGTGATATGGTGGGTGGACACAGGTCACGACGAGAACTCCTGGACTTACCCCCCCCATGGGTTTTTAGACCGCACTATTTTGCTTCTGTGCTCTTTTCTGCCGTCACTGCAATTCGGAGTTCAACTTCTCGACGCACACTCCTCCAGCGTGACCCTCGGCGCGCTTGACCGCGTAAGAAAGCCCGACATGTGTCAGATGTTTGGAATGTTCAAAGAGCAGCCCGAACGTTCGCAGCAGGCCATCTTCGACAACCGCCATCCCTATGTTTGCCTACAGTCGATAATATTGAACCCAAAGATGGCCCCAAAATGGCCGATCGATGACCCGTCTCTCTTCCTCCTCCTCCTCACCCTCCTCTTCCTCATCCTCCTCTTCTTCCTCCTCCTTCTCCTACTCACCCTCATTATCTGCTCTTCCTGTTCGGCCTCCTCCTCCTCCTTATCCTCCTCTTTCTCCTCATCATCCTCGTCCGTCATCATCATCATCATCATCATCATCATCATCATCATCATCATCAGCATCATCATCATCATCATCATCATCATCATCATCAGCATCATCATCATCATCATCATCATCAACATCATCAGCATCAGCATCATCATCATCATCAGCATCATCATCATCATCAGCATCATCATCCTAATCAGCATCATCATCATCACAAAAAACAACAACAACGACAACAACAACAACAACAACAACAACAACGGCATCATCATCATCATCATCATCATCATCATCATCATCATCATCATCATTGTCATCAGCATCATCATCAGCAGCATCAGCATCATCATCAGCAGCAGCATCCGCATCATCATCAACATCATCATCATCATCATCATCAACATCAGAAGCAGCAACAGTAGCGGCAGCATCAGCATGATCATCAACAGTATCCTCCTACACCTCGTCCTCGTCCTCGTCATCGTCATCATCCTTGTCCTCATCATCACCATCATCATCATTGTCACCATCATCATCATGGGCATCATCATCATCCTCATCATCATCCCCTCATCATCATCCTCATCAGCATCGTCATCGTCATCATCATCAGCAGCATAATCAGCATACATCATCATCATCATCATCATCATCATCATCATCATCATCATCATCATCATCATCATCATAATAATCATCATCAGCAGCATCATCGTCATCATCAGCATCAGCAGCAGCATCATCAGCAGCTCCATCGTAAGCATCATCATCACCACCATCATCACAATCATCAGCAGCAGCATCATCCCCGTCTTCTTCATCATCATAATCTTCATCATCATCAACAACATCATCGTCATCATCATCAGCATGACCATCATCTTCATCATCAGCAGCATCAGCGTCAGCAGCATCATCAGCATCACCATCATCCTCATCATCATCATGTTCGGCAGCATCATCGGCAGCAGCATCATGGTCATCATCATCATCAGCAGCATCAGCATCATCATCAGCATCAGCATCAGAATCACCAACATCATCACTAGCAGCATCATCATTAGCAGCAGCAGCAGCATCAGCATCAGCATCATCAGCGTCATCGTCATCATCATCACCATCATCATCACCAGTATCATTAACCCGGAGAAGCAATTAAGGAACCCCCCGGCGTTATCATTAGCACCGCGCCGTAATTAAATAATTATTTGGGGGGGGGTTCGCCGAGCGATAATATTAGCACCGCGCAAATGGAAGGAAAATAAATAATTCCAGCGCCCCGCCTCGGGTGGCATCCCAATTAGAATTGTAATGAGAATAAGAATACGAATACGAATAAGGAAAAGCTGAGAAAAGCTAAGGAAAAGCTTAGAAAAGCTAAGAAAAAGCTGAGAAAAGCTGAGGAAAGCTAAGGAAAGTGGGACCTGCGAGACCTGCGGGACTCCGTGGGACCCGTGCGATCTGGTGTACCCCCTCCTGGTGCCAGGATAACGCTTCCGGGTGCCGGGTGCGTTATCCTTTCACCGGAGAGGGGGGGGGGGGGGTCCTTAATCGCTTACTCGGGTTAGTAGCAGCATCATGAGCATCATTATCAGCAGCATCAGCATCAGCATCATCATCATCAACATCCCCATCCATCCACATCATCATCATCATCATCATCATCACCATCACCATCACCATCACCACCGTCACCATCACCATCATCATCATCATCATCATCATCATCATCATCATCATCATCATCATCATCATCATCATCATCATCATCATCATCATCATCATCATCATCATCACCGTCATCATCATCACCACCATGTGAGTCGTCCAGCCGCACGCTCCGAGCTCCGCTCCTGCGCCGCCCCTACGCAGAGAAGGGCAGCTCCCTGGCACCGCAAAGAACGAAGCGCGGCGACCTGTAAGGAGCAGGACAGACCTCAACCATCCGAGGCGCCGGCGATAGCGCGGGCGGTCGAAGCCTCCTCCTCGTCCTCCTCCTCCTCCGCCTCCTCCGCCTCCGCCTCCTCCTCCTCCTCCGCGGTCCGGCGGGGTCGCCGCAGGGCGAAATTGGCATAACGGAGGCGGGAAGCAAGCGGAGGAGGGCGGCCGCGGAGGGAAGGAGAAGAGGGGCAACGCGCGCAGGCCGCGGGGGGAAGCCCTGAGCAGACCAAGGAGGAAGGGGCGACCTAGGCTCGGTTTTTCCTCGAGGGGAGAACGTTTTCTGATTCGGCGTTTCGACATTGGGCGGAAGGGGGGAGGGGGGGGGCATCTGCTTAATGCGACTGTTTGCGGCAGTGCGTCCTGCGGGGGAGGCTCCACCCGCTCGAAGCAGGCGCCAAAAACAGCCCAAACCTACTCCGTGGGGGGGGACGGGGGGGGCTGCGAAGGCCCGCGCCGATCGGCAAGACATTACCCGGGGAGCTCCCTCCGTGCCGGTCTGTTTGGGCAGGGGGGAATCCCTGTCCGAGCAGGGGTGGCCCTGTCCTGTTATGTTTGCTCGGGCGTCGTGCTCCACTGATGAAAGAGGAAGCGGCAACGGCGCACCTTTCTCGAAAGCAACACCTTATCCAACGTGCAGCGAATCCACACTGCCGCGAGGGCCACCGTCGCGCCGAGCACCGATGGCATGCACCCCAGCGCGCACCGGTCTGGCAGAGCAACTGGGCCCCAGCACGGCTGCCTCAGACCGTCCGCTGGAGGCGACGAGTGACCATGCGGGTCGCATTTGAAGGGTAAAAGACTACTGATCTGGCGAAAGCGAAGGACAAATGCCTGGTGAGAGACGCCAGGGGCCTCTGGCCCAGGCGGCGCGCTGGAGAGGGAAGCAAGAGAGTCCTCGTGTTCCTTGCCCATCTCCGTCTACTTCTCGAGCAACCGAGCGACCAGACCCGTGGATGGATGAAGTGGCATTACATCTTCACGAACGAGAACACGAGATCACACGAGAGCTCCAGTACAGTGGGGGCCCTTCCACAAGAAATATTCCACAAGAAACCCAACCCTGATACCCCAGGACGTCCATTTTGGTGTGGGAACGTCACGCTTTCCATAGCGAAGGCATCGAAACCCAAGAAACCCAGGGCACCCTGGAGGCAAGCAGGGTGTTTCTTGGCATTGGCCTCCACCGTAGCACGGGGGCACGGGTCCTGAGGGAAACAGGTCCCGAAGGAAACAGGCCCAAGGCCCAGAAGGTTCGAGGGCTTCTGAGAAGCCCCGCCGCCTTCTGAGAATCGGCGGCGAGCGAGGGGGGGCAATTGAGAAGAAGAAGGCCTTCTCAGAAGGCGGCGGGACTTCTCAGAAGCCCTCGCACCTTCTTGAGAATTTTTCCGGGTCTTCGGGGTGGCTCAGGAAACAGCTCGGAAAGCTGTGGGACTTCCGAACCTCCTGAGAAGGCCCGCCCCTTCTCACCTCCCCCCGTTGCTCGCAGCCGAGAAGAGGCCTTCTCGTTCTAACCTCCCCCCCCCCCCTCGCTCGCTGCCGAACAGGAGCTGGAACGACCAGGACAAAAGCCACCGGGAGGGGCAGGAGCAGCAGCAGGAGCCCGGACGAGCGGGCGAGCGCGTCGGTGCCCGCGGCCCGCAGCGGGCCACCGACGGCCGCGAGGATCAGGCGCGGGAGCAGGGCGAGGGGGAGGGCCCAGGGAGGCACAACGAAACAGGCACAAATCCCAGGATTCCCCACATGTGTGCTCTCCCGTGCTGTCTTGGGTCTTCGTCTTCCCCTCCGCCTCCCATGATTTTCTGGGGAGTCGGCGATGATTCGTGTCCATGTCTACGTTTCGCTCCTGGGGGGGACAAGCGGCGGGAGCTGGAGCCGAACAGCAGAGCGGGGCGGGGAAGCGAGAAAGTGAGGAGGCCTTCCAGAAGGCGGCGGGGCTCCTCGGAAGCCCTCCGGCCTTCTGTTGACGAGCGCCTTCCACTACTCGCAAAGCGACTACTCGCAAATGGTCTGGATCCGCCATAGGGGGATTCACGCTACAGTACATCGGTGCAAGCAAGTGTGTTTTTGCTCGGACGTTTGCGAGTCGGCACTTTGCGAGTGGTGGAACGCGCTCGCCAAGGGCTCCCAACTTCGCGCTTCGCGCTGCGCGAAGCGCGAAGTGAGACTAACTTCGCGCTCTCGCGCCGCCTCCCAGGAAAGAAGAGGAGGATGAGGAATCCGAGCCGAACCGCGAAGCGCGAAGCGCGAAGCGCGAATAACTTCGCGCCCTCGAGGGTGCCCTCGAGGGCGCCCTTGGCTCGCTGATTCTGCGAGGTTCCCTGCGCCTCCGGCGAAGGCTTAGAGAGCCTCTCGGAAGGCCGGGGGGCCTCCGAGCCTTCTCTGAGGCGGCCCGCCCCCTCTCCTCCGCCGGCGCACGGCTCCAGCTCCGACCGCTCGTCTTCAGTCGGGCGTGTCCCCCTACAGGGGGATTTTCGACGAAAAATGAAAAATACCCCAAAAATATTCCAAAATGGCAAAAAAAATAATCAAAAAATAGTCCCCAGACTATTTTTGAATATTCCCCCTGTAGGGGGACAGGCCCGACTTAACGCTTGTCCCCCCCACCCTCGTCCTGCTCCCGCTCCTGCTCCGCATGGCTCTCGGCCGCTTGCTGCGGGTCGAGGACGCCCGAGCCCTCTGAGGCTCGAAACATCCGCGCGCACTCCGCGCGTGCTGTTTTTCTGGGCAGCTTTTGAGGGCGCTGTGACATGCCAACTGGAGCATGACTGACTCCTCGCTCTCCTCCTGCCCTGGTTTCCTCATTCATCTTTTCGTGGCCCGCGTTCTCAGCCCTGCTTCTCTTGCCTCTTCTGCCTTCCGCTGCTTCGTCAACCCTCCTCCCTTCTCAACCCTCAACTCTCGTCCATGATCCCGCATTCGCCCTCGTATTATCGCTTTTCCTGCCTCAACCTGCTGGTCGCCTTCTCCTCGCTCCACAACCCGTGCCTCTCCCTCGCGTGCCCGTGGGAGTGATATTGATTCGTCGGGAGTACAGCTGCTACGAAAACACGAGAGTGCACATATCATTGAGTTTCTGTGTGCTTTTCAACGCGTTCGGCCTCTCCCCAGCCCCCTCGAGCTCTCCTGGACGTTCTCTTGGGAACTTTTCGGAGCGTGTCAAGCCTCTTATGGCTCTCCTCAGGGCGGGCTGGGTGTTCCTAGAGCAGCTCGAAGGCGTTTGGGGGCTTTGGGGCCTCTTGGGAGCCTCGTAGGCGCCTATTTGGGGCCTCATGAGGGCGTCTTGGGGGTCTCTGGGGGTCTTCTTGGGGCTTCTTGCTCCCTCTTGGAATCTTTTGGAGGCCTCTTGGAAGGTTTTTAGGGGCCATATCGTGGCCTCGGAAGCACACTTGACGCGAAAACGCGAAAATGCACAAATCAGTAATTTCCTAATGTTTTCTCTACATCTTTAGCCTTTCCCGGGCCTCCTCGAGCGCTTCTGGAAGCCCTCTTGGGCACTCTTGCGGACGTGTGGACCAGTTTTAAAATCATCTGGAGCCGTCTTGGAGCGCTCTTGGGCAGTCCTGGGGCCTCTTGGACTGCCCTGGGCGCCCTTGGGGGGCTCTGCTGGGCCGTGTCGGGGCCCCCCGGGGGGTCCTGGAGAGGCCCAGGCGCTCTGCCGCACCTGTGGAGGCCCGGTGTCTGCCCCCGGGGCCCCCGGCCCTGGCCCCCGAGCCCCTGGACCAGGCCCGCCCCTTCGCGCTTCCCCCGCGGGCTCGCCACCGACGAACGGCAGAGCCAGAAGCTTCCAGGGGCGAGCGGGGGCGGGAACTGCCCGGCGTCGCCCGAGCACGCAGAGGCCGCGGCTGGGAGGGCGGCGGCCATGCCACCGGCCCTGGACCCAAGGATGGAGAGGCCAAAAGGCACCGATACCGTCGGGCGGGTGGTAATGCAGGGCGACGAAATCTATACATAGCCAGTGCTCCCTGGCCAGGCCCGTCCTGAACCCAGCAGCGGTGCACATGCCACGCCCTCCCGGCTTGGCCAGAAGGGCGTGTACACAGCTCCCGGGTTCAGGGTGGGCCTGGCAAGGGAGCAATGGATATCTATAGATTTCGTCGCCCGATACTCGCCGGGCCTCGCGAGGCCGTCCGCAGGCAAGCTGCGCTCGGGGCGAGGAGCCAGGACGAGGACGAGGAGGAGAAGGAGGAGGAGGAGGACGAGGAGGACGAGGAGGAGGAGGAGGGCGAGGAGGAGGACGAGGACGGCGAGGACGAGGAGGAGGAGGAGGAGGAGGACGAGGAGGAAGGACGAGGAGGAGGAGGAGGAGGAGGAGGAGGAGGAGGAGGAGGAGGAGGAGGAGAGGGCCCTCAGGGGGCCCGATGCAGGCCCCCTGTTGGGGGCCCCCGCTGGCTCCAAAAGAGGGGCCCCAGAGGGCGCGCCTGGGGCCCCTTCTCTCCACTCCCCCCCAGCCAGGCCACCCTCCAAGAGGAGGGGGAGGAGGAGGAACAAGAGAAGGAGGAGGAGGAGGAGGAACAAGAGGAGGAGGAACAAGAGGAGGAGGAACAAGAGGAGGAGGAGGAGGAGGAGGAGGAGGAGGAGGAGGAGGAGGAGGTGGAGGAGGAGGAGGAGGAGGAGAGGAGGGGGACGGGGAGGAGGAGGAGGAGGAGGAGGAGGAGGAGGAGGAGGAAATATCACCCGCCCGATACCGCTCCTCTCCAGACCTCTCCCGAGGTGCGATCTGACCAGGGTTTCGAGGAGGACCCAGCGGTGGCGACGAGGGCCTCCCAGGAGGTCCCCAAGAGGAGAAAACGAAAGTGGGGTACAGTCGAGCTTGATTGGAGAGGACACGCGAGAGGACACAAGAGACTTCTGAGGGCCATACTGCCCCCTGACGAATTATCCTGTAGAGGGGCGTTTCCGACTTACTTGACTGCAGCGGCACGGGTACCATTGCCTCCTCTTGGCGGCAAGCGCGGGGGGGAAGTGAAAGTGGCGGACCTGACCTCCTCAGGAGGCTGGGAAGTCCCCCGGCGTTCTGAGGAGCTTCCTGAGCCTTCCCCGAAGATACAGAACACTCCTCAGAGGGCGCGAGGGCTCCCGAGAAGTCCCGCCTCCTCTCCTCAGAAGCAGGAAGTGAAGACCCTCTCCTTCTCGCTTCCCCCCCCCCCCCCATTCCGCGCCCGCCAGATCCTCTGACGGGGGCGGGGCTGCGCGCCCCCTCGCGGCCGGGCCCCCGCGCCGCCCGCGCCCGCGCCCGCGGCCAGGCGCTCGGTGGCTCCAGCCTCGGGCGCTGCGGCAGCGCCCTCGCGGGCGCCCCCCGGGCGCGCACGCCCGGGGCAGCGCGCGGGAGCCGCTCTTCGGGCCCACGGCGGGCAGCGCCGGCAGAGCCTCGCCCCAGACGCCCTCGCGGCGCGCAAGGATCACGATCGGGGGGGGGGTCTTCGTCGCTGCTGTCGTCGTCGCCGTGCTACGTTTCGGCGTCGGGGGGCCCCCCCGCCAAGCCATCGGCACCGTCACAGGAAGACTCGGGGGGGACAAAAACGGCCGTGAGGAAAAGGGCCATGACGTCCGAGGGCCCCGTATTCTCCAAATAGGCTTGCCCTGTAGGAGTTCTGGCTCATCATAAGTGATAGGTGTGGAGGACCCCCCCATTCTCCAGTGGCCACCCCCCCCTTTTTTCCAAGAGCATCCCCCTTTTTCCAGTGGCATTTGCTTGCTTGCTCTTGCGTGCTTGCTCTCGCTTGCTTGCTCTTGCTTGCCATTGCTTGCTTGCACTTGATCGCTGGCTCTTGCTTGCTTGCTATTGCTCGCTTGCGCTTGCTTGCATGCAGACGGTAGCACTGGGACCTTCGGTGGGGCTCCATATGGGGCCACGAAACGCTGTACTGGGTGTGGAGGACGCATGCGAACGGTAGCACTGGGACCTTCGGCGGGGCTCCCTGCGGCGCAGCGGAACGCTGTACTGGGCGGGGGGGACGCATGCGAACGGTAGCACTGGGACCTTCGGCGGGGCTCCCTGTGGGGCCACGAAACGCTGTACTGGGTGTGGGGGACGCATGCGGACGGTAGCACTGGGACCTTCGGCGGGGCTCCCTATGGGGCCACGAAACGTGTGAGGGGTATGCTGAAACGGGTGATGATGATGATGATGATGATGATGATGCTGATGATGATGCTGATGATGATGATGATGATGATGATGATGATGATGATGATGATGATGATGATGATGATGATGATGATGGTGATGAGAAGGAGAAGGGGGAGGAGGAGAGGAGAGGAGGAGAAGAACGCGGGGCGACGTCTCTTCGAAACGAAGACCCAACACCACAGGATGGTTGGGAAAAAACAATACAAACACACACACACACACACAGACACACACGCACACACACACACACACACACAGACACACACACACACACACACACACACACACACACACACACACACACACACACACACAAACACACACACACACACACACACGCACGCACGCACGCACGCACGCACGCACACACACACACACACACACACACACACACACACACACTCTCGGTCTCGAAATTCGGAGCATGCGCAGCGAACCGATGCGGCCTCCCCCTACCATCCCTATCAAAAAACCAATGCAGAATACACTTGGCGGCGGCGGCGGCGGTGGCTGCGGCGGCTGCGGTGGGGGCAGTGGCTGCGACGGCTGCGGCGGTGGTGGCGGCGGTGGCGGCGGCGGCGGCGGCGGCGGTGGCGGCGGCGGCCGCGGCAGCGGTGGCGGCAGCGGCTACGGCGACAGCGGCTGCGGCGATTCGGCAGCGGGGGCGACGGCGCCGGCGGCGGCGGCGGCGGACGGCGGCGGGCGGCGGCGCTGGCGGCGCTGGCGGCGGACAGCGGCGGCGGCGGCGGCTGCGGCGGACGGCGGCAGGCGGCAGCGGCGGCGGCGGAGCCGGCGGCGGCGGCGGATTAGCCCCCAGTAGCTGCCCATCCAAAGACGACTGCTGAATATGCTGGGGCTCGGGCCAGGCTCGGGTGCTACGTATGTGTTGGGAGGGCGGGTGGGAGTGAGCGAGACGGTTTGCGGGCGGGGAGGGGGTCTTGACCTCGCCCCCTACCCCATCCCCTGGACCTGGACAGAGCGTTCCGCGAGCAGTCAGAGCGTCCAAAACGGCCTCGGCGAGGAAGGCAGAATCATTAGTTTTACTAGGACTTTGGCCCAATTTTGGCCTCTTGGGGGGGGACAGCGCTAATTAAGGACCCCCCCTTCTTTGATCGATCTCCTCCGAGATGGCCCCACGAGCGCTCCCAAGCCCCCAAGAGGCCCCAAGAGGCCCCCCAGAGGCACCCAAGACGCTCCAAGAAGCCTCGGCGAGAATGGCAGAATCATTGATTTGACTAAGGTTTTGGCCACGTTTTGACCTCCTGGGGGGGGGGGGCACTGCTTAGATGACTCCAAGAGCGCCTGAGAAAGCCCAAGATGACCTCCAAGATGGCTCAAGATATCCCAAGATGCCTCAAGATGGCTCCCACGATGCTCCAAGAGGCCCCAAGACCGCTCCAAGACGGCTCCAACTGGCCAACAATCCTTCCAAAACCATAGGAAAAAAAAATGTTTTTTGGCTTTCTCGCCTTTTCGCTTCTGATGGCCATCCGAGGCCTCAAGATGGCTCCAAGATGGCCCAAGAGGGCCCCAAGAGCGCTCCCAAGGCCCCCAAGAGCGCTTCAAGAGGGCCCCAGGAGGCGCCCAGGAGGCCCCAGGAGGCACCAACAGGCGCCCGGGAGGCCTCCAAGAGGCTCCCAAGAGACCCCCAAGGGGCCCCAAGAAGCTCTCCGAGGCACCCAAGACGCTCTCAGAGGCGTCCAGGATGGCCAAGAGGCCCCCAAGACGCTCCAAGAGGCCTCCACTGGGGGGCCCTTCCTCTGAGTGCTGCCCACTTCCCTGACCGAGGCAATTCCTCTGGGCATCGTTTCCGGGCTGGTGGGGTTACGCGAGGCGTCAAGAGTAGCGATGATGATACTTGTATGTACAACTAAACACAAAAGTAAACAACTAAACGAACAAACAAACAAACAAACAAACAAACAAACAAACAAACAAACAAACAGGCAAGCAAGCAAGCAAGCAAGCAAACAAACAAACAAACAACCGAACAAACAAACAAACAAGCAAACAAACAAAAAACGCACCTCTGGGGCTGCAGCGTCGGCACGGCGAGCGCTCCCCGGTGTGTGGGCGCGCTGCGGTGCCGCATCCCATCGGCGCGCACCACGGTAGGGGCAGGGGGAGAGGGCGACCAAGAAGGCCGCGCGCTCACCCGTACCCCTCCAGCCAGTCCTCCGGCGGCACGCAACTGGTGACCCCTTGCTCGGGAGCGGCCAAGAGGGGAGTGTCCAAGAGGGGGGGGGGGGGGGGGGGGCAAATCATGACTGGCGGCACGTGCGCGGCCCAGCGGGGGGGTCAAAGACGCAATGAACCAAGAAGAGGCGCCCTGAAATCTGGGGAATTATCATGGCCCCGACATGATATCCCCCCCCCCTACTCCTCACCCCCCTCTTTGCCGCCCCCGATTAAATCCATGGTTGCGTTCCGTTTCCTGGAGGAGGAGGAGGAGGAGGAGGACTTCTAGGGTTCTGGGTATGGCGACAGTGTCGGTGACAATGACTGAAGCGGCTACGGACCCTGCCGCTTCCCGCTGGCCAGCTCGGCTTTACTGAGAACTTTAGGCCAGAGGCCTCGGGAAATTCTATCTACGTAATCCTTCCGATTACCCACAATCACCTCTTCACACTTGGTGGCTAACGCTCGGATCCGTTGCGAAGCGAAACAGCCACACTTAGTGCAGAACCAGAGGCTTAAACCCGAGTGAAAATTCAAAACATGTGATTCGTGTGAGAACCCCCCCAAGATGCACCCGTTGCCCAGGAGGAGGCCTGTACTGAATCCCGTTGACGTTAATTAAGGAAAAGCAGGGAGAGCTCAACCAATCGCTGTCGCGGGCCAAGGACGTAAAACCCTGACACCTGGAACAGCTCTTTGCATCTTCCTTGAGGCTATGGAAACTATTAGACATGGCACACACACACACTGGCCGCTGGAGGCCGTACAATGTCAGAAGCTTGTTGCCTACGCCTACGCGCGCCACCTTGCTCAGCTAGAATACGCTTTTCGGCTTGGATGGCCTCGAGGGTGATTTGAAGGATACGCGTGCGAATTGCGAAAGCTTGCTGCTCAACACTTTGTATGCGTGCACGCACGGATTCGGCAAGTCTAGCTACACCAGCACCTGCCGCTGCAAAACAATCTGCTATGGCGTTACCTAGCACAAGGAGGCGGGTTGCAACACCTCGTTCTATGTCAACGCCCTCGAGGTGGGATTGGACGAACAGCACTGCGCAAGAAATCTCGGACCCTCGTTCCTGCAGGACACGCCCAATTCGCCACCAAAGATCGGCGTCGGGGCCAGAGGGGTCGATCCACTTACGCTGATACCATCCTAGGCTGACTGCATCGTTATCAGTAGTGTACACACATTGACCAGACGCACGTTGCAGGCACGCGAGGAGGCACCAAAACTCCCCTCGAACTACGGTCTGCCTGGCTCCTGGGAAGGGGCCCCCAAGCGCCAACAGAAATCCCAATTAACTCGTCCAGCTGCTGGAACGAAGCTATTCCGAGGCCTACGCGGCGGAGCAGGGGGTGGTGGGCGCCCTTCCCCCCACTCGCGTCTCCAAACACAAACAAAGGCCTGTCGGAGGTCCCAAAGCCTAGAGATTCGAAAATACAGCACAGCCGTCCACCGCTGCCCACGCTTCGACCTCGAGCGGGGAGGGTACCTCCATCCAAGCCTTAGGGATTAAACCGCTGGTGCAGTAGCACTCTTCAGCTTCAGCCTGGGCGTGGGCCTTCGAACCCAGATCCTCGCTAAATTTAAAAATCGGATGGGACGACTGAGAATTACATCCCCAAAGTCTGTGAAAATCCGCTTCAGGTACCAAGAGGCACCTAGGGCAGAGAACAGAGATGGTCTGGCGGCAGCGCGTCGCGCCCTCGGCCAGCTCGCGCCAGCCGCCGCAGCCAGCAGCAAGCCGGCAAGCCTGGACCCGCCAGGCGCCTGCTCGAGCTGGGCCAGCAGCTTCCTGCACGAGAAGTTGCAGACGCCGTTCCCCATGCCTGCCCCTCCGCGATGCAGCGCCGCCTTCCGCCAGATCTGGTCCTGCACAGACTGCCTGAACTCAAGGAAGAACATCTCAGGCACAACGAGGATGGAACGGCCAGTGAGGTCGTCGAACTTGAATTGCCACGCCGATTTGCCACTTGGGACAGTCCACTCTGAAGGCGAATCAGGTGTCCAGCCCGCCTGCAGCAAGTAGGCTATAACAGCTCCTTGAGGACCACGAATCCTGCAGCATCGAGCGGCAGGAGTGAGGCTAGCGAACTCGCTGGCGATCTGCTTCCAAGATAAGGCCACACCTGCATGCACTGACGGGCGAGAGGACCACATGGCGAGCCACACACGCAACGTGTCCGTCGGCAGCTTGCACTGTGGATCGCGATCAGGGGTTTTCAAGTCCAGCAACGTCGTCACACAACGTCCAGTCAATATGGGCCCCACTGCGTTGGCTAGCTTGCGACGTACTTGTTGCATCTGTTTACCCCACACTCCATGTAACTGATGCCCATACAGGCTTGCAGGTTGAGCCCCCTGGAGCTCCAGGCGCCGAGGAACCCGATACCTGCGAGTGGCACGCGCAAAGCCCACGATCTTCCTGGACATAGCAGAGCGTTTGGTGTTTGGCTGCTCTTGCACGGCGAGTGGCCCTCCCATGTCGCCTACCTCCAGACAGATCGCCGCCGAGATAAGCTGCTTGGCTGGCGACCTTAAGGCGATAGCCTTTCACCGCAAGCCTCCGAACTACAGCTCGTGCATCATCGAGGTGAGTGCAAAGAAAAACGGACTTGGGCGACACGGCCAGACCGCGGCGCTCAAGCTCATGACAGGTGTCGGCCATGCATGAGACCAAACGTGCGCGGACAGCTGCTCTGGAACCTTGCGTGGTCTGACTAAGATCACCCACACATATCCGGTGAGACATATTAACGTGAACTGTCGTGATACGCTGCGGCACATAAAAGGTGGAACAAGTACCAAAACGCATTCCACCTCGAAGCCACTGCACTATGGAACGTGTCGGCGCGAACGGAGCCCCATATGCCCCTGACTGGCGAACACACCGAGCTGCCATACATTGCTGAAGTTCGAGGCCTAACACCTCAGGAGGAAATGCAAGACGAAGTGCCGCCTTGCCCATGCGGCACCAGCCCACTGCATCATAAAAGCTCGCCCCGTCGATCATGCCATAGCCAACCGAAGTACCGAGCCCGACAGCAAGCTCTTCGTCCACTGCGCGAAGAAAAACCTCGCGAAGCGCAGCATTGCCGCGCACTTCTGCATCCCAGTGCGCCTCGCGCTGGCCCGTCCAAGCGCGGACGTGGGCCCCCCTCGCTCGCGACCACGCGCGGCCAAGATGCGAGAGCAGGCCGATCACGCGATCGACAGACACCTTGGGTAGAAGGGTGCCTAGCGTGAGAAGGACCTGGTGAGGCCATACCTGGTGCAACTCGCAGGGCGTGAGTATCTCGCTCAACTCTGCAATAGCTGCATCAGGTAGCCTGTCAAAATCATGACTCCCAACACGACCGACACCCATGGCTGCGTTGGGCTTCATGCTCTTGAGCGCCTCTCGGAGCTCCTGGACTCCCAGAGGCATGAGCGATTCACCTTGAATCCGCTGCCGAATGTCTACGAATAACCCTGATATCTGCTGGAATTCATCAACTGCTTGCGGGCTCCACAGACGTTCCCAATGCTGCGACTTGGCATCCATGATGTCTTTGGGATGCATCAACGCCCTGGGGCCAATCTCAAGGGCATCATCAGGCAACTTCTGATCACGTATTGACTTGTGAAAAGCTCCGACGGCAGGTGTTGTCCCAGCCCAATCGCGAAACTCCTGTAGCGACCGCTGCACCGCACGTTGCTGACTACGGCGGGCAAGGCGCGCGGCGTCGGCATCGAGCTTCTTGAGCTCCTCCAAGTCAAGCTCCGCGAGCTGACCTAGGGTCGGGCGCCACTGAGACCACTTAAGACGATCACCTCTGCGAACGACTCTATGACTCTCGTCAGGGCACTGCGTCAAGAGGTTACGCGCAGCCGCTGTGAGAATCTGCCGTTGCTTGTCACCGTTTTGCCGCTGACGATGACTGAGGCAACTATGAACGATGGTTGACACTCGGGTCCACCAGCCTGCAACTCGACCCCGAAGTGGTTGAACACGCTGCGGCTTGGACTGGTGGACCTCACACACCCGAAACTGCACCGACTGTCCACGACTCAGCTCAGGCGGGGTCTGCCGATGGTGGGAGTAGATAGCCAACTCAACAGACCGAATCCAACTACAATAAAGTGACCTGATGTGCGCAAAGAAGGTTGACTGGGCTCCGAGCCGAAACGCTACGGACGACGCAACAGCAGGGGCAGGAAGATTGGATGAGTTCGGAGAGAACCCAACGTTTTCCTGGCCTGGCTCCACACTTCTGCAGGCACCTCGAACGCAACAGACGTGAATGAGCCTGAGGTGTCAGGGTCCTGGGCCTGGGAGGTCACCTGCTGAGACCGGGCAGTGCCATCCTCCATGTTGTCGGGCTTATCGGGGCTCTGTGGGTTAGAGGGGGGCGAATTAGTCCGAGCTGGCCCGGCATCCGACAGCGACGAATGAGCGAGAGAAGCAACAAAGACAGGCGCTGCAGCGGGAGCGTGCTCGAGCTCGGGGTCGTCGAAGTTGGGCTCATTGGCCCACGGGTCATAGTCATCGTCCAGGCATCCGCTGTGTCTCAGCGGGTCACTGGCCTCGACCCCCTCAGACCCCGACGCCCCCCCTTCGCTCTCGGCTTGTTTCTCCGTGCTGAGCACATCCCCGAACCACTCCTGAATTCGCGAATTACGCTTCTCCAAGGCAAACTTGCGATCAATGTCACGTTGGGCTTTGCTGAGGCTCGATTTCGAACCCTCTGTTGGCTGCTTCCCAGGGCGGGCCACTTTAGGGAGCCTGGGGGGCAACTCTAAAACACGAGTAAAAAAGCTAACTACTAGTGCCTACGAGGTCCACGCGGAGCCCAATATGCGGCCGCCACGGCACGTCACACACGGCATGCACAGATCTGATATAAGGCCGCGCAGCGGCAGTTGCGACAATGCAATCTAAATGAGAGGGCTTCTGACCCTTCCCAGGGGCGCAAGTGAAATCAGCCTCGCAGCACAAACTTTGGCCCCCCGTCTTTTATAAAAAGCCAGTCTTGCTGAGAGAGGCTGGGGTGAAATTCCAATCTGCTACTACGATCCAGGGAAGCTGAAGGGCGGCTAGGAGAGAGGCGAGCTCGCAAGATCTTGGAACATTCTGATCTCTCATACCTATGGCAGAGTGGCCGTAAAAGGTGATGACGACAATCGAATACCCTTTTTTGCTCTAGCAGCACTGGGACGAAGCCGTCGAACGAGCTGCCGCGTTCTGGACGAAGACCTGGAACAGCTCGCGCCTCATCCAAGATGCATGCTGGTTTGTGTCTGACCACCAAGGAAAACTCGCCACCCTCGTTGGCATATCCACTGCCTGCCGAGCTGGTCCACTTGCTCTTTGACCGAGCTGCGTTGGCGTACAACTTGAGGTTGTCATCCCGAGCCTTACGCCTCCACTTGCCGATCTGCTGCTGGTTGATGTGTGTCTCGCACATGCTAACGAACGAATACCCCTCCTTCACGAGTTTGCGGACATGCCCCCAAGCTTTGTCACCCATACACGTGATGTTAGAGAAAAAAGGCGACAACCGGCGACAGCAGCTCCCACTGAAGAAAACGAAGTTGGTGAAGTTGCAGAAAAGGTGGCAGTACCCGAACTGCCTGCACTGGTACCAGTAGACGCACTGGAGGCCCCCGAAATCGCAGCACTCGTGGTCTGCGCGGTGGTCGTCGTAGGGAGGTCCCTAGTCAACTCGAGACCTGACCAGGGCCAGCAGCCTGAGGCGCACCCACGCCCTTGCCGCCTGCCTGGCCCTTGCCCTTGTCGACTGACGCCGCAGCGTTGAACCTCGCCTGGGAGATATTCGCCGCCTCCTGGTTGATGGCCTCCTCCTGCGCGGGGTCGACGGCTGGGGCGGCGCTGGGTGCATTGGCCGAGCCTGCACTGCCCGCGCTCGCCGCTGCCTCAAAAGCGGCAGCCCCTGTAGCACCCTGGCCCTGGCTCTCCTGGGCCTGGGTGCTGCCGTCGTTCCCCTTGCGCTTCTTGGCCATCCTCTCGTTGACCTCCTGCTGCGCCAACTTCACCCTGTCTACGAATGCTTGCCATGTCGCACTCTTCTCCTCTATGGCCGTTTTGTACTGCTCGAGCTCCGCCTTCAGGGCTCGAAACTGCTGCTTGTCGGTCTCCTCGCAATCCCAGGACTCGAAAGAGCTAAACACGCCCATATTCATTGAAATGCCAAACATGGGCTTGGCCCCGGGCTCGGCGGGCTCAACAGCTTCGCCAACACCCTCGGCCTGCACCAAGGCCTTCGTAGCTGCTGCCTTGGCCGCCGCAGCACGGGCGAGCTCGAGAGCAGCCTCACTCTCCTTGCCCTCGGCGGTGGCCAGCTGACCACGGAGCCTCACCACCTGGTCCACCAATTGCTGGTTGCGGGTGCTGGCAGCCTTCCAAGCGCCATCTGCACGCTTGACGGCGTCGACCACGTCGCTGCTCCTGGCGCTCGTGTTCTGGCTGGCCAGCCGCTTCGTCTGAAGCTGCAGCACCTGCTGCAACTCGGCGTCCTGAGTGACCTTCAGCACCTGCTCGAGCAACGTCGAGACATCCTGGGTCTTCTTGAGGCCGCCGCGTTTGCCACGCGGGGTGGTGGCTCCTGTTGCTGTCTGATCGTCGAACTGCACGATCTTGTTAGTGTCAGCGGACTTGGAGCGAGAGCGAGGCTTGAACAATCGCACCTGCTTGGAACACTTTACTGCACCGACGATCGACGAGAAGCAATTTGTCGTTGTATGCACGTCTAGCACAACTGACACTTGCTCCACGGGCGGTGTACCGCCGACATTGCTACGTTTTCCCTGCTTTCGTTGATGCAGGCAGGTGGCGGGGCGCACCTGCTGCAAAATCCCCCAAGCACTGCGTGGAAGTACAGGGAAGGCCGCAAGCACTTGCCCAACGCATGGCTTGAGGGAGGAGGGGGAGGAGGAGGAGGGGGAGGGGAAGAGGGCAGGAGGGCGGAGGAGGGGAGGGGGAGGAGGAGGAGAACGAGAAGGAGGAACCCTAGGCAGCACCCCCTAGGCACCACCCCCCTCTTTTGCCGCCCCCGAGACTCGCAGGCAGGAGCGGCCCCTCTCTATAGGGGGCGCGCGGCCGTCGCCGCGCGCGGGGACCGCGCGCTGCCACGGCCGCGCCTCCCGCCGCGCGCCTCCCGCCGCGCCCCCCCGGGGCCGCGCGAACCGCAGGAGGAGGGAAGGAGGAAGGAGGGAGGAGGAGGTGGAGGAAGGAAGGAAGGAGGAAGGAGGAAGGAGGGAGGAGGGAGGAGATAGGAGGAGGAGGAGGAGAAGGAGGAGGAGGAGGAGGAGGAGGAGGAGGTGGAGGACGGAGGAGGGCCACCCAGCTTTCTCGACCACCGCTCGGGCCGCTCGGCGGGACGGCTCGGGCACAGGGCAACCCCGAAGCGCCCTCGGCGAGGCGCAGCTCTACTGGAGCGCCAACGCGAAGCGGAAGGCATCCAGAGACCGAGCCGGCGAGATCGTCCGAAGCCGTCTGGCCGCGCACCACCAGGCCACTTCGGCGAAGGGCCACCGTTACGTGCAGCCCGGTCCTCCTCGTCGTCAAACGCGTGCGCGGCCGCCGCCATACGGCCCACCATCCCCGTCGCACTGCAGAGGGTCGCAAGAGGCGACGAGCCAAACCTGCCACAAGGAGTCGCGACGTCTTCCCCCACAGGGCAGGGCGAACAGGTCTACAAGTACATGTCCACTGCCCCAGCAATGCCAAACCTGGGGCCAGGAGAGGTGCATACGTACGCCCTCCTGGCTTGGCCAGGGAGGCATATGCACAACCCCCAGGCCCAGGACGGGCCCAGCATGGGGCGCCCGACAGAGCGTCCAGTCGAGCTCGATTGGAGATGACACGTGAGAGGACATAAGGCCCTTCCGAGGGCAGTATGGCCCCAAAAAAGACGGAGGACGCAAGGTCGGCTAAACGCAGGAGTGACCCGGGGCAAGAGTGACCTTTGGTGCGCGGCTGTAGGTTGGCGCGGGGGGGGACCAAACCTAAGCGCGCAAGCCGCTGCTATCGCGTCGACTTCAGCGATCGGGGGACCCCAGTGTGCCCGCACCAAGGTCAATCACGCGAAAGGTCACTCTTACGTGTAGCCAAGAAAGGGCACCCTCGACCCACGAGTGCAAGGGTCACCTGGCGCAATGCACAGGGCACAAGGGTCGCCTTGGCTTGGCAGGGTCGACCTGCAAATCAGACTCGACTGCAAGACGTGGACGGCTTCTCCGCGGGAGGGTGCGGCGATCCTGAGCGGTGGCTCGCGCGTACCACTAACGCAGCACTGAACTGTGAAAGGAGGGCGCTTACGTGCGTCTGCACGCGGACAATTTACGCGCGCATGTCCACGCGGTTGACCCCCCTTCTGTACTTAGGTCGCTCGCATTTTGCCACGACGCCTCTCCCCCTCCTCTCCTCTTCCTCCCTCAACCCTTCCTCCCTGCCTATATTCCCCATTCCTCCCTCACCCTCTCCCTCCTTCCTCCTCCTCCTACGTCCACCTCCTCCTGCCTCCCCCCCCCGACTCCCCCTGCTCATCCTCATCATCACCATCATCATTTACTTATTTGGCTAACCCTCCCCTCCCACCACATGCTGCCTTCCTCCTCGTCCTCCTCCTCGCCTCCCTCCCTCCTCCTCCTCATCCTACTCCTCCTCCTCCTCCTCCTCCTCCTCCTCCTCCTCCTCCTCCTGTTCCTCCTGTTCCTCCCGTCCCTCCTCCTCCTACTCCTATCCCCTCCTCCCCTATCCTCCTCCTCCTCCTCCTCTCCTCCCTCCTCCTCCTCCTATCCTCCTCCTCTGCTCCTCCTCCTCATCTTATCTCAATATCATCCGCAGCCTCAGCATCAGCATCAGCATCACTCAGCATCAGCATCAGCATCAGCATCATCATCATCATCATCAATCATCATCATCATCATCATCATCATCATCATCATCATCATCATCATCATCATCGTCATCGTCATCGTCATCGTCATCAACACCACCACCACAACCACCACCACCACCACAACCACCACCACCACCACCAGCGCCACCATCATCATCATCATCATCATCAGCAGCAGCATCATCATCATCACCACCACCACCACCACTACCACCATCATCATCATCATCAGCAGCAGCAGCATCATCATCATCATCATCATCATCATCAGCATCAGCAGCATCAGCAGCAGCATCAGCATCAGCATCAGCATCAGCATCAGCAGCATCATCATTATCATCATCATCATCACCATCATCATCAACATCAGCAGCAGCACCATCATCATCGTCAGCATCGACATCATATTCATCATCATCAGCATCGTGATCAGCATCATCATCATAATCATCATAATCAGAATCATCATCATCATAATCATCACCATCATCATCATTATTATCATCATCATCATCATCATCATCATCATCATCGTCGTCATCATCATCGTCGTCATTATCGTCCTCATTATCATCATCATCATCATCATCAGCAGCAGCATCATCATCATCAGCAGCAGCATCAGCATCAGCATCGGCATCGGCGTCATCATCATCAGCATCAACACCATCATCCTCATCATCGTCATCATCATCATCATCATCATCATCATCATAATCATAATCATAATCATAATCATATCAAAATCAGCATCAACACCGCCCTGATCGTCGTCATCATCAGCAGCAACACCACCACCATCATCGTCAACACCAGATTCATCAGTTTCGTCATCATCATCATCAGCATCATCATCATCATCATCATCATCATCATCATCATCATCATCATGATCATGATCATCATCATCATCATCATCATCATCATCATCATCATCATCATCATCACCATCATCATCATCAGCATCGACATCATCATCATCAGCAGCAGCATCTGCATCAGCGTCATCATCATAATCAGAATCAGAATCAGCATAATCATCATCATCATCATTATCGGCGTCACCATCATCAGCATCACCACCAACATCACCATTATCATCAACATGTTCATCATGTTCGTCATCAACATCAGCATCATCATTATCATCATCATCATCATCATCACCATCATCATCATCATCATCATCATCATTACCATCATCATCATCATCATCATCATCATCATCATCATCATCATCATCACCATAATCAGCATCAACATCATCATCATCCTCATCATCATCATATCCATCATCATCATCATCATCAGCATCAGCATCCTCTTCATCATCATCCTCATCATCGTCATCATCATCTGAATCGTCGTCATCATTATCAGCATCATCATCAGCAGCGGCATCAGCATCGTCATCATCATCAGCATCACCACCATCACCATAACCAACACCATATTCATCATATTCGACATTATCATCATCAGGAGCAGCAGCAGCATCAGCATTAACAGCATCATCATCATGAGCATCATCATCAGCATCAGCATCGGCATCAACAGCATCATCATCATCGTCATCATCGTCATCAGCATCAGCATTTTGTCATCATCATCATCCTCATCATCATCCTCACCATCATCATCATCATCATCATCATTATCCACACCAACATCGACATCAACATCAACGTCAACATCAACATCAACATCACCATCAACATCAACATCATCCAACCCTCCTGCTCCTCCTGCTGGTCCTCCTCCTCATCCTCATCATCCTCCTTCTCATCCTCCCCACCCTCCTTCTCCTCCATCACTCAATTTTTAACACACACACACACTGTCAGACAACAAGACGTGTCCGTAGGCTGGGTCAGGCAATTCGCATGAAAGTTCCTACTGGATTCTGAATATGAAACTACAACATGTACAAAGATTGCAGGCCAGTGGCTGCCAAGTTGCGGTTTTCGCCTCAGCGCCGCCCATCATTCCCCAAAAGTTTCCAACAGCTGCGAAGACGGATGGTCTGCAAGATGCGGCTCTCGTGGCAACGCCGCGCATATTCGTCCCGAAAACCTCCAACGGTTACAGGGATGGAAGCCGACTCGTTTTCAAGATGTGGCTATCGCTTCAGCCTACCTACAGTTCTAGGATTAGGTCGGGCATGTCCTCCTACAGGCGGATTTTGGAAGACAAACAAAAAATGCTCAAAAATAGTTGCAAGGAAAATGAAGAATGTCCCCAGAACATGCTTAGACTATTTTTGAGTATTCCTCCTGTAGAGGGACATGCCCGACTTCATTCTAGGACCCGAAGTTCCAGGGGGTACAACATTTGCACGGATGGAGGGCAGATCCTCCTCATGACGGTGCCATCGCTGGACGGCTCCTCGAACTTCAAATCTCTGCTTCTATGCCTTCCTGTCGCTAACGAACGGAGGAACAAACAGCTCGCATCAGGTCGGGCATGTCCCCCGTCTGGCCGATTTGGGGCGATTTGTTCTTGTTGTTGTTTCGTTTATTGTTTTTCTTTTACAAAAAAATGGAGAATCGTCCCCAGACTGTTCTTTGACTATCTCTGACAATACCTCCCGAGCGGCAGGCCCGCCGGGCGCTCGTCGCTCAAGAGGGGCCCCCGCCCGCGGAAGAGAGGTACAGCCTGCAGGGAACGACGAGGGGGGCTTGGAACGGGAGGATGTCTTTTTCTGCACCGTTGGTGCATCCTGGGCTTGTTCTGGTCCTCCTCCTCCTCCTCCTGCTCCTCCTCCTGCTCCTCCTCCTGCTCCTCCTCCTCCTGCTGCTCCTCCTCCTGCTCCTCCTCCTCCTCCTGCTCCTCCTCCTCCTGCTGCTCCTCCTCCTGCTGCTCCTGCTCCTGCTCCTGCTCCTGCTCCTGCTCCTCCTCATCACCCACTCCTCCCTTCCCCCTCGTCCTGCTTCCCATTCTCATCGACCATGTCATCACCCTTCTCACATTAGTCTTCCCTCGGATTCGGCGCCGGTCAGAACCTGCCCCCGAACCAATCCTCGTCGTGGCGGGCGATGATGTCCCTGAGCTTAGACATCTCTTCCGGTGCCGAAGGGGGGAGGCGGGGTGGAGGACCAGGAGGGGCAAGAGGAGGGAGAGAGGGAAGGAGGGAGGGAGGGAGGAGTCCGGGGGGAGGAGGAGGAGGAAGAGCCTCCTCCTCGCTCTCGTTACTTAATCCTTCTCCTCCTCGTCCCGAAACCTTTCCTCCTCGTGCTCCCCTCCCTCCTCGAGGAGGAGGGAGCTGGAGGAGGCAAGGCAGGAGGGGGGCATCGTCGACAGCAGGTGCGGCAGCAGCAGGAGGCGGCGCCAAGGTGTTCTGGGTCACGTGGCTGGCGAAGTTGTGCTTGCCGTGGCCGCGGTGGCGTGGCCCCCCCGCAGATGACAAGAGGGGGGTGTCACCCGCCAGCTTGTCTGTCTTAGTCTGCCCGTGCCCGCAAGGGAAAGGAATCCCCCCCACCCACCCTGCAAAAAAAACTGGCATGACCGAAGACGACGAGGGCGGGTATCGAGGGCTGACGAAACGATTGCTGCCGCTTTGCAGCGGGGCCCAGGTCGTCGACGTCGGGACTTCTTCTCGACGTGGGCACCGATTTGTCGACGCCATCCCCAAGACCACTATTTCTCGAGATTAGATGATTGATGACCCCAGAGCTGATGGGACCCAAAATAGCCCCTGGAGGCCAGGAAAAGAAAGGAAATCCGCACACACACACACACACACACACACACACATATACACACAACAAAAACACACACACAACAAAAACACACACACAAAAACACACACACACGCAAACATACACACACACTTTTGGCGTCGCGGCTTCGCGCGCAGCGACGAGGCGAAGCAGGTCAACCATAGAGTGCGTAACGAGTGCGCGCGAACTGCCCTTCAGAAGATGGGGCAGAGATCCAAACATGGATCAACTGTGCCATCCGCGTGCCTGGGCCTGGGCAGCGGGAGAAGACCGCGAAGACTTCGGAGCGACAGTACCCAACGAGTGGCGAACGCCAAGCGGAGGCCCAGGGCAGCCCGAGCGGACGTGGACGAGGCTCACTGGCCAACGACACACACACACACACACACACGCACACACACACACACACACTCGCACACACACACACACACACACACACACTGGCACACACACACACACACACTCGCACACACACACACACACACACTCACTGTGGCCAACGACACAAACACACAAACTCGCACACACTCGCACACACTCACACACTCGCACACACACACACACACACACTCACACACACACACACACACACTACCACACACACACACACACACACACACACACACACACACGCACTCGTTTGGCGTGACGGCCACCCGCGCGGGGGCGCGGCGAAAGGCCGGCCAAGCGGGAGAAAGCGCGCGGCCAGGCCAGATCACTCGGCGAGGGACACTAGCATACACACCCACACACACATATACACACACACACACGCACACACACACACGCATATACACACACACACACACACACACACAAACACACACCTACACACACTCACACACACACACATGTACACACGCACGCACACATATACACACACGCACACACACACACACACAAACACACGCACGCACGCACGCACGCACGCACGCACGCACGCACACACACACACACACACACACACACACACACACACACACACGCACGCACGCACACACACACACACACACACACACACACACACACACACACACGGGTCGGATGGAAACAAACAACAACTACAAGAAATCGAAGAAACGGACAAACAAACGTAAAAAATAACGACCGCGAATTGTTGTTGCGACGCCTGGATGTGTGTCGGCCCATCCACTTGCATTCGAAGTCAGCCCCAAAATCTATCCCAGACACCATCCTGACCTGTCTTCTCGAACTGCATCAAGCGGCGGGAACCAGGGGCCTCCAGGAGCCCCCCAGAAAACATGAATCTCTATCATGCCTCTATCCTCGAGGTTGGCACCAGGTAGGCGGCAGTTCAGGACGCTTCCAGGCTAGCAAAAACACGGCCCGAAACATTTCAAATCTCAGGATGCCGCAAGCAAAACTGTCGAAAACCGTCTCCCTCCACCTCCTCCTCCCATCTTTATCATGCCTGCTCCTCTCTCCTTCCCGACGACGACGACGACGATAATGACGACGACGACGACGACGACCATCACCACAACCACCACCACAACTAGCACCACAATAACGGCCACCCAGACGACCTCGACGACCTCAACGACCTCGTCAGCGACGACGACGGCGACAGCGACGGTGACGGCGACGGCGACGACGACGACGATGACAACCACCACCACCATAACTACCACCACCACGATCACGAAGACGACGACGACGACGACGACGACGACGACGACGACGACGACCTGGTCGCTCCTTGGCCCCCTGGCTGAGGTGCCCAAGCCACCGCGGCGGCTGGGGTCGTGGCTGGCCGCGCACCTCCGGACCTCGTCGCTGAGGGGCAGGTCCAGGTGGTCGGCCACCTGAACGAAGAGTACGGGAAGGAGAACGACAAAGTACAAGGAGGTTCGCAGGCGAGGCAGGGAGCGGGACGACGAGGACGACGAGCACGAGAAAATTGAGGACGAGGAGGAGGAGGAGGTTCAGGACCAGGATAAGGAGGAGGAGGACGACGACGACGTCGGAGAGGACGAGGAGAACCAGAAGGACGACGAGAAAAAACAGGAGCGAGCGAGAAGGGAGGGGAGAACGAGGGAGAAGCTCGGGACGAGAAGAAGAAGAAGACGAAGAAGAATCCGCCAACCCCCCTTGGGGGCCACCAGGCGACCCTGAAGCCTGCACCAATATACAAATTTCCAATTTCTGATATTCCTGGTGTACATTGTCCCTGTCCGCGTCGTGCCCGAGGCCTAATCGCTTGTGGAAAAATCTGGATTCGCGCCGCCGAGACCACGATCCCTGGCAAATTATACCAAACTCGCGCCCCCGAGGCCACGATCCCTCGCAAATTACGCCACACTCGCGCCACGGATATCACAATCCCTTGTAACGTATCCCAGGTCCGCGTCACTGCGGCCTCCTCCTCATACTCCTCCTCCTCCTCCTCCTCCTCCTCCTCCTCCTCCTCCTCCTCCTCCTCCTCCTGCTCCTTCTCCACCTCCTCCTCCTCCTCCTCCTCCTCCTCTTCCTCCTCCTCCTCTTTCTCCTCCTCCTCCTCCTCCTCCTTCTCATTATCATCATCATCATCATCATCATCATCATCATCATCATCATCATCATCATCATCATCATCCTCATCATCATCCTTATCCTCATCCTCATCCTCCTCCTCCTCCTCATCATCATCATCATCAGCATCATCATCCTCATCCTCATCCTTATCATCATCATCATCATCATCATCATCATCATCATCATCATCATCATCAATTTCATCATCATCATCATCATCATCATCATCATCATCATCATCATCATCATCATCACCATCACCATCACCATCACCATCATCATGATCGTCATCATCCTCATCCTCATCATCATCCTCATCATCACTATCATCATCGTCATCATCACCATCACCATCACCATCACCACCATCATCATCATCATCATCATCATCATCATCATCCCATCATCATCATCATCATCATCATCATCATCATCATCATCATCATCATCATCATCATCATCATCTCCATCATCATCATCATCATCATCATGATCAGCGGCACCAGCACTAGCATCAGCATCAGCATCAGCGTCATCATCATCATCGGCAGCAGCATCATCATCAACATCATCGTCATCATAATCATCATCGAGATCATCAACATCATCATCATCAGCATCATCATCATCATCATCAGTATCATCATCATCATCAGCAGCAGCAGCATCATCATCATCATCATCATATTCACCATCATAGTAATCATCATCATCAGCAACATCATCACAATCATCATCAGAATCAGCATCAGCCTCATCATCAGCATCATCATCATCCTCATCATCATCATTATCATCATCATTATCGCAATCGTCGTCCTCAGATTATGAGAATATGATCATCCGTCTTCTGAGTTCTCTTCATCATAATCATCATCGTTGTGATCATCGTCATCATCAGCAGCAGAATCGTCATCATCATCAGCATCACCATCATCATGATCGTCATCATCATCATCATCATCATCATCATCATCAGCATCATCATCATCGTCAGAATCAGCATCATCATCATTGTCGTCTCAATCGTGATCAGTGTCCTCGTCATCGTCGTCGTCGCTGTCGTCAGCAGCAGTAACAGCAACAGCGCGATCCTCACCACTGTCATCATGGTTAGCAGCATCATCATAATAATCGTATCCATCATCATCCTCATCATCCTTATCATCAGATCATGAGCATCATCGTCGTCATCAGCATCCTCGTCATCGTCATCGGCATCGCCATCGTCATTATCATCATCATCATCATCATCATCATCATCATGATCATCATCATCATCATCATCATCATCATCATCATCATCATCATCGTCATCGTCATCGTCATCGTCATCGTCATCAGCATCAGCATCATCATCACATTTAGCATCGTCAGCATCACCATCTTCATCAACAATGTCCCCATCGTCAGCATCATCATCAGTATCATCATCACTATCATTATTAGCACCATCATCATCATCATCATCATCATCATCATCATCATCATCAGCATCGTCATCATCGTCATCGTCATCGTCATCAGCAGCAGCAGCTACATCGTGATGGCAGTCATCGTCGTCATCATCGTCGGCATCATCATCAACAGCCGCATCGTCAGCATCATCATCACCATCAGCAGCAGCATCATTATCACCATCATCAGACGCATCATCATCAGCAGCAGGATCATCATCATCGTCATCATCGTCGTCAGCAGCGGCAGCGTGATCCTCATCATCATCGTTAGCATCATCGTTATCATCATCATCCCATCGTCATCGACATCATTATCAGCATCGTCAGGAACGTCATCATCATGAACATCATCATCAGTATCCTCGTCATCATTATCAGCATCATCATCGTCATTATCAGCATCATGAACATCGTCAGCATCGTCATTATCAGCATCATCATCGTCCTTATCCGCATCATCAGTATCATCATCATCACCATCATCAGCAACAGCATCATCATCATCTTCATCAGCAGCAGCATCATCCTCGCCATCATCGTCGTCATCATCACCCTCGTCTCCCTCCTCCTCTTCCTCCTCCTCCCTTCCCTCCTCTCCCTCCTCCTCCTCATTCTCCTTCTCCTCCTCTCGTTCCTCCTCATCCTCATCCTCATGTTCCTCCTCATGCTCGTCCTCATCCACCTCCTTCTCCTCATCATCCTCTTCCGCCCATTTCTCCACATTCTTCTCATCCTCTCCCTCTCCCTCCGCCTCCTGCCGCTGTCGCTGTCGGTTTCGGAGTTCGGGCCGCCCCCATCTCCTCCTCCTCCTCCTCCCTCTCCTCCTCCCTCTCATCCTCCTCCTCCTCCTCCTCCTCCTCCTCCTCGTCCTCTTCCTCCTCCTCCTCCTCCTCCTCCTCCTCCTCCTCCTCCTGATCACAATATAGCTCATCCCTGTCGCACCCCCCCAGACGTGTCGTTGGCGTGGGCCGGGCGTGTCGCTTATGATATCTAAGCTTGAAGTGTTCAACACTTGTACATAGAGCACAAGTGATTTTCAAATTGGCGCTATCGACTTGGCGCCGCGCACACACGTCTCCAAGAAGCGATGTTGCGCGGAAGGAGAACGGGTAAGGCTCGAAATGGGGCTCCCGCACTAGCGCCCCACACACTCGACTTAAGCATCTAACAATTACACGGAAGGAGGGCACGTCATTTTCAAAATGGGCTCACACCTTGGCGCCGCCCACAATCTTCATAAAAGCTTGCAGCAGTGAGACACGGGTGGAGTGCGGTTCGTATTCAACACTGGATTCCTCTATGGCCGATGTCCAAACTGCTCAACTGTTACGCACATGGAAGTGCGGGTCCGTTTCAATTTCGGATCAACGTTGAATGCGTACAACGTTTTGACGGATGTAAGTTGACCATTTTTTAAACGGAGAACCGCTGCACACTTCCTGGAAGATGGTAACTGTTTGCATTTCTTACAGCTGGAAGGATGGACGGTGGCCTATTTCCACATTGGGGTCTCGCCTGAATGGTAGGCCCCGGGCGTTTGTCTGTAAGCTGGGGGCACTTCCCGCAATGGGAGTGAATACTTGTGGGAACTCGTGGGGAGGGGGCCTCCTCCTCCGGGGTGTGGTGCAACGGGGGCGGAAGCACAAGCATCCTGTGGAATGACGACCTGACAAGGGAGGGAAAGAGGGTTCGGCGCGGCTCTCCACAAAAGCACCAAGCATGGTGGGGTCAGCTGGGGCGGCGCCAATCTCTCAAGAGGACGACAGCCCATGGGGAGGGAGGAGGGACGACGGGGGAGGGAGAAGGAACAGGAGCAAGGGCAGGGGCAGAAACGGGAGCGGGAGCCGAGATGAGGGCGGGGGCGTGAGGGAGGCGGGAGCAGGAGGGAGCATTGTTGTCCCATCCGCACCTTCCTCACCATGTCGCTGTACCCTGCCAGGCCGACCCGAGGGCTGGGGGCGAGCAGTGCAGCTCGGGATCGCGAGCGGCTCCGCAACAAAATCTCTGAGAGACACACGGGAAGAGGAGGAGGAGAAAGAGGAGGAGGAGGAGGAGGAGGAAGAGGAGGAAGAAGAGGGGGGGGGGAGGGGGAGGGGAAGGGGGGGCGAGAGGGGGAGGGGGGGGAGGGGGAGGGGGAGGACGAGGAGGAGGAGGACCTCCAGTCCCCGAGAGACCCCCATGAAGCCTCCACAAACACACACGACCGTGCAGAACCCTCATACTCCATCCTCCTCCTCCTCCTCCTCCTCCTCCTCCTCCTCCTCCTCCTCCTCCTCCTCCTCCTCCTCCTCCCCCCTCCTCCTCCTCCCTCATCCCAGGACAAGGAGGAGGAGGAGGAGGAGGAGGAGGAGCGCCGCGGGCATCTCAGAGTGTTTCTGGAAGCCCTGAGCCCAAAATGGTCACGAGCGCTGCTCGATCCGTGGGGCTGCCTGCCCGGCCCTCCCGCTGCCTCGGCGGCGCGCACGTGGGCGGGCGGGGGGCGAAGCCCTCCCGCGCGAGGCAGGGGGCCCCGTGGGTCAGCCCCCCCCCCGCCGCCTTCGGTGGCCACTATGGGAGCCTCCCATACCATCCTGTCGGCTCTTGTGGCTCGACGCCAGTCGACGCTTACTCGACGCTGATCGACGCTACATCGACGCCAAATCGACGCGAATCGACGCTGCATCGGGCTATCCCATCGACTCCCAAACGCTCTCATCGACGCTCGTCGGCGCGAAAGACGGAATTAGAAGGGTACACCAGGCTCCCATGATTTGCCACCGAAGCCGCCCCTTCCCTGCGCGCCGCCCGGACCTCCACGCGTAGGTGTGTGGGGGGAACAGGGAAAGCAGACCACAGCAAAAAAGCAGCACAATGGCACGCGCCGAAGCGCTTCGCATCTCAGGGCCCGTCTCGGGCTCCGGTGCATCAAAGCGACACGCGACCAACAACAACAAAAAACGGCAACGGCATGTTGAGCGTCGTGGAATGGGGGGCGATCACTGGGGGGGGGGGACAATTATCTTGTTCGGCCCTAAGGCCCCCTTTGGGGCCCCAAACGGCCCGCGTTCTGCAGCCCACGCTGCACCCCATGTACACCACGCGAAATGGTTAAGAAATCATGGGTTAAGAAATTCATGGTCTCAGAACTTGAATAAAAACCCCACATTTCTATCAAAATCTTAGGATTTACATTGAAACGTTAAGAATCATCGAGACTCTGGCCGAAAACTTAGGTTTTCTTAAGCATCGCCTGAGGTGTACCGCCCCCCCACTGCGCGACGCCCAGGCACAGGGGTTGAAAACTCCGAGTCCAACGTCGATAAGAGATCACAGCGTCGGAGGTCTGGGCTTCCAGGGCCGGGCCTGCAGCCTCCTCTCCGTCATTGAGGTCCCAACGACTTCTGCTGTCCATCGAGCTCGCCCTGGCGTGTCCACGAGTTGCGCTAGATCTCCCGGGAAATATCTTGATCGGATGTTCCTAGGCTTATCTGGGTGTAAATAGATTTATATGGATGTACCTGGGTATATATGTAGATTACATGTACATATGGCTTCGTCAACGCCAGTCGATGGGAGAAAAGTCGTTGAGCACTGGAGAACTCTGTCTTGACGCTGTGCCTGTCCAGCCCTCCTCCAGGCACTGCGTCAGGACGCGCGGGTCGTCCTTGGAGGCCTGGTAAGCATTCTCCATGTCCGTCAACGTCTGGCCCGAAAAGTTCCTCATCTCCGCGTACACGCCCACAGTGTACGGCACCCAGGAGCAGGAGGAGGACGACGTGGAGCAGGAGGAGGAGGAGGAGAGGAGGAGGAGGAGGGCAAGGAGCAGGAGGAGCATAGAGTAAGAAACAAATGTACACATGCCTGAGGCACGCGCGGGTTTATTGGATCGGCGCTGGACCCCCTCCCTGGAGCGCGGAGCGCGCCAGGGGCGGCGCCAGAGGCGCCGCCGACGGGGCGCAGTACAGATACAGGAATTCCGCGCACTGGTGCCCGAGGGCTTATCGTCATGCACATGCTGCTTTTTCCGAAGGAGGGTAAGTGGGAGGCTACATGCGAATCCTACCCCACCTCGGGGGCGTCCAAGAGGGGGGCGTCCAAGAGGAGGGGCGCAAATCATGGCCCGAGGCACGTGCGCGGCCCAGGGGGGGGGGGCCAGGGACGCAATGAATCAAGAGGAGGCGCCACGAGATCTGGGGAGGCATCGTGGCCCCCGCCATGATATCCACCACCACCCCCTAACCCTCACCCTCCTCTTGGCCGCCCCCGACCACCTCCCCTCTTAGAAATCGTGGGGCTGGTGGTGCGGGTAAGGTTCGCGCGTGGCCTCTCCCGGCAGGGAGCAGGCGGAGCGGCGGGCGAGCGAGCGAGCGGGCCGCCCGTGCTGAGCATCCTCGGGGCCTCTAAGCGGAGCGGGCGCAGCTACGGCCTCTCTCAGCGATCCGCCACCGAGCCACTGATGCACCAACTGGAATGTCCTCAGGTAGAGGTTGCAAAGAGGTAGGCGTGCTGGTGGCCTTGCCTCTGCCGGCGCAGCCCTCAATCAATCAAATAATGAAGCCAGAAGGGGCCGCCGCGGCCAAGCCTGGCCACAGGCAGCAGGTCAGGCGGCCGGCGGCCGCCGGCCAAGGTCCCTTGCTTCATACTGTTCCCATCGTACTTGAGTGAACCACATCCCAGAAATAGTGCCGAACGCCCAGAGAGGTATCGAGACAGCGTCTGCCCGACACGCTGGCGAAGTACCGAGCGAGTATCGCCTTCCAGGGCCCGACACGTGAAAAACCTCCAGATTCAATACTGCTCTTGGTGCTCGAAATTCATTACGGTGATCAAGGTTAAAGGAACTTAGAACAGCATAACCCTTGCTCAATCCCCTGGGCCATCCGTCCTCACTCCTGAGGGTTCTTTCAAGGGCCCGGACCCAAAATTGCCAAATCTCTTGGGGATTCCCGCGTGCCCCCTGGAGCCTGGGGCGTCGTGTCGCGTGACTCTTTCGAGTCCAGGAGGGTCCCCAGACGGGCCAAGAGGGCCCCAAGACGGTCCAAGTGGGCCCCGAATCGCCGTACGATCGGTCCAAGATGCCCAAGACGGCCCCAGATGCCCCCAAGACGTCCGTTTAAGCCTCCAAGAGGCCTCCCGAAGGACCCCACGAAACAAAAGTTCAAAAATCACTATTTTCCTCAAGCTGTTTGAAGGAGTCTGGCGTTCTCGCCTTTTCGGCTTCCCGACGCTCCAGGACGGCCCAATATGCCGCCAAGATCGCCCCAAGACAGCCCAGGAAGCCCCGCAGAAGGCCCCAAAGAGGCCCTAGCGGCACAAGAGGCGCCCAAGACGGCCCAAGAAGCCCCCAAGACGGTTGCAAGAAGGGGCCCCGACGGGGCACCCGAATAGACTTTTTAAGCCATGGGCCCCCAAAAAGCCCAAGAGACCCCCAAAAGGCCGCCAAGAGGCCCCAAGAGGCTCCCAAGAGGCCCCAGGAACCCCTAAGACTTGCCCTAAGAGGCCCCCAAGAGGCTCCCAAGAGGCCCCAAATACAGTCTCCATGAGGCCCCTGAGAGTGCTGCGAAGAGACCAAAAGAAGCATCCCTGAAGACTCTGACCCACAACCCAGGTGCTCCAGATTTCGTAATAAAGGGAGGGGGGTCTCATTTCGGGGGGGGTCTCTTTCAGGCTATCTTGGAGGGCCTGGGGGGTCTGGGGACGATGTTTTGGAGGGTTCTCCCACGGGGGAGGTCTGAAATGGCTTGTCTTGGCGGGTCCAGACCCCCTCCCTTTTATTACGAAATCTGGAGTACGGTGGCGGGATGGGCCGAAGGCCATTAGACCTGCTTGGCACGGGGACGGGGAAAACGCACTTACTTTCAGAGCGCACGAGATCGCTGGCTCGTCCGCTCTTGCACCTCTTATTAACTCCCTTCCCCTCGCTCTTGTCCTATCTCAGCCTCGGAGAGTCGCGGAGCTTTCTTTGAGCGCGTTTCTTGTTTTGGAGGGGGCGGTCGGGTCGCATTGCGTTTTCCGCGTTTGGGCTGCCAGCTTTCCAAAACCCCGCGTTTTCCTTGTGTGGACCGCTCGTTGTCCATGCGTTGCCGCCCGTCCCTGTGCCCTGGCGTCAAGAACGTATTACGCCGCAGCTCTCTGTTGGGAGCTTTGGTCTTATCAGCTCGATTACGTCACCGCTCGCTCTTGGGAGCCGCGGTGCTAAGAGCCTTTGGGAGTAGTTTGAGCCTCTTGGGGGGCTCTTGGGGAGCCTTTTGGGTGCCTCCTGGGGACCTGTTGGGGCTTTTCGGGGGCCTCTTGGGGCCTCCTGGGAGCTTCTGGGCTGCGGGGGTGAAGGGACTAGGCTGCCTTTGGCCGTCTTTGGGCTCTCTTAGGGGGCCTCTTGGGGCCTTCTTGGGGCCGTCCTGGGGCCGTCTTGGGCCGTCTTGGCGCCTCTTGGGCCGTCTTGGCGCCCTCTTGGGCCGTTTTGGGGCCCTCTTGGGGGCCTCTTGGGCCTTCTTGGGGCGCTCTTAAGGGCCGCTTGGACAATCATGGGCGCCCCCTGGCCCGTCTTGGCGCCCTCTTGGGCGATTTGGGGGCCTCTTGGAAACATCTTGGGCCGTCTTGGGGCGGTCTTGGGGGCCTCTTGGACCGTCTTCAACGCCATGAAAAGCAAAAATCCGCATATGCTAAAAATGCACGCTTTCCTTAAGAAAATCAATGATCGCTTTATTTTGCCAGTGGCTCAGACTGCTTGAGGATTCGAACGAAGCACGGGCAAGCTAGGCTGGCTAGTGCGACACAGATCTGCTCAAGGTACCATTAAAAGGAGGCATTCGGCTGGCGCGGGCCGAAAGAAGTGCCTTGAGCGAGAAGGCGACAGACATTAGCAATCATTCTCGTGCATCACTTACATGATCGCTTTATTTTGCCAGTGGCTCAGACTGCTTGAGGATTCGAACGAAGCACGGGCAAGCTAGGCTGGCTAGTGCGACACAGATCTGCCCTACTTCAACTTGAAATAAAATCCATCACTCAAGCATTGTGCTGGGGCTTAACCCCGCATTCGTTTCCATCTTTCGGTGGACTGCTGTGCTATACACGATCTGCGCAGCGTGTCAGCCAGGAGTGCGCAAAGGGCGGGGGGATAGGCGTTTTTGAGACGGGTGAAAAAGCCACCCCCAGAAAGACAACCGGAGAGCTCCAGGTGGGGCTTGCCGGTAAAGGAGCAAATTCCTCTGCCTTTGCACACTAACTTATCAAGACCAGGGTGTGGGCTACACTTCCAGAACCTTGTCCGAATGCGAGCACGAAAGGGGCGACCACAAGCACAGTAATCAACAACCCTATCACAGACTTCGGGAAGGTTAGCAAAGGAGCGGCGGTCGGGGCGAAGCCACAGGAAACTTTGCCAAGGGTTCTCCTCGCCGCCAGGGATATTCAACCTATAGCAGAGACGCTGAATACGCTGTGAGACCCACCCTACCTTGTTAGAGACGCGGAGGCTCTCGAGGTCTTTACCCGTGAGGCCCGGGATCCCAAGAGGAAACGCGGGGCTCCGGAGAGCCGAGGGCATGCTGCTGGACAGGGGGGCCCGACGGGCCCTCGAGTAGCCGTTGCAGGGCGTCCCCAGGAAAACGAATTTGACCAGACCAGACGTCAGCCATCCCCGGAGGATCCTCCAGACCCCCGGGCGAGTCAAATCAAAATGGCTTCCGTGTTGGATGTCCCATTCTACCACAGCTTCGCCTCTCTGCCTCTGATGTTTGCTCAGAGCTCCACATCCTGAGAAGACTTCGATGCACACCCTTGTTTGATGGGGGGCGCTCCGAAATGCAGCTCCAAGGACCTGTTGAAGACGCCCACGAAGTCCCTGCTTGCTGCTCGGAGGGTTTCGCGCTGCAGGTCGCTGAGCTTGCGCAGTTCCAGCAGCAGGCGTCCGTGCTTCTCGTAGCGCAGCACGGACATGAACGCCTTCCACCCTCCTCGCTGCTGCACGGTGCCTGAGTCTCTGTCGCTCGTGCTCTGGTCGTGGCTGGCCCCTCCATGCTGGAGGGAGCAAGGGGTGGCCTTGAGTAAGCACACGCTCAGAGCAGGGGTCGCGTTCTGGAAGTCCTTCGCCAGATGGTTGTAGCCCAAGACCAGGAAGGCGTGGACGGGTTCCCGAAGGGCTCGCACAAGGAAGATCGGGTTCACCATCAACTGTTGCCTGGGCAGGTCGAGCCGAACTGAAAGGTCGTACTCGCGGGTCTTGGTTGGTATCTCGTACACTGAGGCCCACACCGCGACCGTCAAGAAGATCGGTGCACCTCCTTCCCTTGGCAGCGGCAGGACTACCTGCCTTGCTCGCAAATCCAGCACTCTTGACGGGCGCATGTAGGTCTCGAACCTGGTGAGAACGGCCAAGCCACTGAGTGGCTCCCCCGCCCGGCACCGCCCGCAGGCCACCGCCAGCACCACCAAGAACGGGACGGGCGGTCTGGATTTGGACGGGTCCAGGGCGTTCCAGCCCTTCAGCGTCTGGTGCGTCAGGGGGAAGACCTCGCGGATCCCGCCCCGGCGGAGGGCGGGCAACGCCCAGCGCAGCGCCGGGGCCAGCCGCTGAGATGACGCCTTGGGGACCCCGCGGTCGTAGATCGACTCGGCGTACTCTCCCAGCGTCTCGTCCCACGTGAGGTGCGACCAGTCCAGGAGGAAGGCCATATTCAGCCAGCGTACCAAGCCGAGGATCATCCCGAGGTAGGGCCCCTGCGTGCGAGGCCTGCACTTGGCCGAAGCAAGCCGGGTCTGGCGCGGGCGCAACTGGCGCCTCTTCTGGATGAAGTCGCTCTCCAAGTGACTGAGGCCAAGCTTTGCGCGCCGCCCAGCCAAGTCTGGCCTGCTCTCGGGCTCGCCCAGCACCGGCACCACGGCCTGCCTCGGCTTGCCCCGGCATCGGTTGCCCGGATGGCAAGGCGAGCGGCTCCTGCGCTCGCTCGGCGCGCGAGGGCCGGAGCGGCAGCTCGCCAAGGCCATCGGCGTGGGCGGCACCGCCTGGAGCATCGCCACCTCCACGCACGCTCCCGGGGCCCCGAGGCTGGAAGCGGCGAGACGGACCGTCGCTCGGGTTCCACTCTGAGGGGAGCCACCTCACCTGAACCTTCAGGTCTGCGGCGACCCCCACAGCGAAGAGGACACGACAGACTCCCAGGAGACGATGATTAGCCGCACGGCCTTTGGCGGCAGCGAGGGCGAGAGACATGTTATCGCCAAGAAAGAGTCGGCGCGAACAGTGCTCCCGTGAGTCCCTGGCCGCCCGGCGGACGGCCCATGTCAGAGCGGCCCCCTCGAGCCCGTGGATGGCCTCCTTGCGCTTCCAGCGGCCGCAGCCTACTACGCGCCAGGGCTGGGCATGCATCTTGCCGCAGTCGACCTCCGGGAAGCCTGCCGAGCGCCCGGCCAGCAAGAGGGCGGGCTCTGGCGCCCGCGCTATTTCCTGCTCCAGCGTCCTCTCGCGGGGGGCGCCTCGGCAGCGAGCACGCCACGGAACCGTGCGCGCTCGGAGACCCTGCCGACGCGCTGCACATCCTTCAGGCCCCACTCGGTCTCCACGATCCCGTAGCCCCAAGGAGACGCGTCGAAGCAAGTGACTACCTCGCTCCACGGGCGTCGGGCGTCGGCCCGAAGGCAAGGGGCCAGAGACCTTGGCCCGCCCCGTGAGAACATACTCCAGGGCGCCGTAGACCCGCCAGAGCCGGCGACCCAGCACGCACCAGCAGCCCGTCTGCAGGTCGAGCTCGCATCCCAGCAGCTCGCCGCGCTCGGCCGGAGCAGGGTCTAGCTCGGAGACCACGCCCTTGGCCGCGAGCGCCGCCTGCATGTCGGCGACGGCGGTGGCGGCACGGGAGGGCGACTGGGACAGCACGGCAAAGTTGTCTATGTACAGGGCCTTGGCATCCTCCAGGTTCAAGTCAATGCCGGGGCACTTGTCCAAGCACCATGGCTGAGATGGCAAGACTGACTTGACGAGGTGAAGGTGTGTTTCTTGAATAAAGTGCACCGCCCAGCTCCAGCCCATGGGCACCACCTTGAATCGAAAGCGTACCTGGCCGCTCATCAACGTCAATCCGCAGGCGCTCCGAACCTCCGGCGGCAGGAAGCGACTCTCAATCAGCGGGGGGTTGAAGTAGCGCCTACACCAGGGCGGCAATGCATATTGATAGAAACAGCAGTCGACGTCTCCAGAACTCATGCCAAACATATTGACTCCCGACGCCTCCAGCGAGGACAAGGCCTCACCCGTCGCGAGTGCCGTGTGCTCTGGAGTGGTAAAGTGCATGTTAGGCGTCCTGGCGTCGCAGATGAGACGCAACCGCTTGTCCTTGCGAGCCACAAAAAACATGCCAGCTTCCTCCAAAACCGACTCCGAGCTGGTCTCGATCACCCCCGAGGTGCAGAGCTCCCCCAGAGCGCGGCCGCAGTCGTAGCCGAGCCGCCCAAGCTTCGGGTCCATGGCACGAGGAGCACCTGCATCACGAATTAGCGCTGCTGCCTCCTCTGGGGATCGCAACAGCCCGCGCCCAGTCTCCAGCTTGGTCTGCAGGTCAGTCGGGAGGACCTCCATAAGAGCCACCTTACCCGCACCGATCTTGGGGAGAGAGATGTTTCCCCGCTGGTAGACTGCTCGAGAACCGGAGGCCTCGACTTCAGAGTAGCCAGGCCTGAGACCCTGTAGCGTCGCCCACGCTTCATGGGGACTAGGGCGATCAACGGGCGGCGACCACTTGCCGTAGGTCGTGGCCAGCCGCCTCACTGCAGCACGCTGGGCCGCCGTCAGCGGGGCGGAGGTGGGCACATGGCGCCCCTGCCCGCCCAGCTCGTTGAGGGAGGCGACGCCGTTGAGAATCCACTGATCCTGCCGCCTCCTGGTGGCAGCTCTCCTCCGCGCTGTGAGTGAAGTGCCCCATGCAGCCCCACCACTCAGCATCGACATCAGCTCCGGACCAACTGGGATAGGAAGTAGGTCTCGATGACGCCCACCACCGCCGTCGTCACAAAACATAGTGCCGTCTGACCAGCACCTCCCCTTGAGAATAGTCGACCGCTCGGGGGAAGGCGGGCGACCAAGCCACTTCAATGAAGGGATGGGGCTAGGCAGCCCCGTCAGCACAAGCCAAGGCCTTTGCTTTTGACTTCGGCCTGTCTGCGCCGTTCTCGCCCACGCTACCTCGAGCAAGACTCTTTTCTTCACGTCCTTTGCGGCGCCCTTTGAGTACTGCTGCTCCCTCCTGAAGGCGGGCTGCCACCCCGCTACGCAGTGCAGTACGACCCACAACTCCTTCACGCCCACGCTCTTGTCCCAAGAGGATCGTGCGCTCGTCGAGCAAAGCCGACCCCCCAGCACTGCGAAGTACGCCCGCCTCGTGTTCGCGAGGTCTGTTAGCATACTGCTGCACCACCCACAAGGTAGACCGCGGCCCGCAGCCAGGGGAGTCCAGCTGCGAGTTGGAGGTCGTGGTGCCCCCTGACTCAGCGAAGACTCTGACCCCGTTGCCGCCGCCACCGTACTTGACGAGGAGGGTTCGAAGAGTCTGCTCTGCAGCTTGGCGGTCCTGCCAGGCGGTGGGCGTGCCCTCGTAGGTATCGGCCTTCGCGACTGCCAGCTTGAACCCGTCGGCAGGCTCGCAGATGCCCCCATCCCCGGCAATGGCGCCGGGCACGGTGCCTGCTTGAAGCCCGTCACTTGGTCGGTAGCCAGCGCAAGCCTCCAAGACAACCCAGCGAGGAACATCACCTGCGTCAGCGCGATCCTCCAGACCACCATCGAGTGCAGGCGGAGGCGCGGGCGCCCCTTGTGGCTCCTCGGGGAGACCCTCCTGTTGGCAGATCTCGCTAGCGAGCTGCTTGCCCTCGCTGAGCAGCCTCCCTTGGTGTCTCTTGAAGCGGACGATGTCTGTGCTGAGGATGTGGCCCAAGAGCTTCGTGGACAAGCCTCCAAGGGGGCCGACCTGACAGAGGTCCAGGGCGTTTGCAGAATCTCCCTCGTAGATGTCACTGTGTGGAGTGACCACCACCCATTTGGCCGCAGTGACTCTGCTGACCAAACTGCATTCATGCCAGTAGTTGTCCTCTTGATCGTAGTGGCCGAGGACCCGTACGCCCACCCGCAGGTTCTCCAGGGCCTTCGCCGTCCGCGATGCTGCCATGGACCACCGACTGGGTCTCTCCGCGGGCACGTCGTCGTCCTGTCCAGACGAGGACCTTGCGAAGCACTGCGACCCGACCAGGCCGAGCACGAGCGAGAGGGCCACCCCAGGCCGGGTGTGCCCGGGCTCGGGGCAGGCTGGCGTGCATGACGGATGCCCGTGCAGGTGCTCCTGTCCGCGCCTGCCAGGCTGCCCCTTCAACAGCCCGCTGAACGCCTCCCCGGGCGCGGCGTCGAGGAACCAGCTGCAGTCGCACCCGCTGCTGCTGCTTGGATCCAGGTGCCCAGCGCCTGGCCACCGACAGCCGCGACCTGATGAGCTCCCGCCCTGAAGAGGGCTGTGGCCGTTCGGAGAATGAAATCCCGAAAGAAGTGCCTTGAGCGAGAAGGCGACAGACATTAGCAATCATTCTCGTGCATCACTTACATGATTTTGGCCTCTTGGGGCCCTCTTGGGACGCCTCGTGGGCGCCTCCTGGGGCGTCGTGGAGGCCTCTTGGGACGTCTTGGGGCCGCCTTGGGCGGTCTTGGGCTCTCTTGGAGCGCTCTTGGGCCGTCTTGGGCGCTTCTTGGACCGTCTTGGGCCGTCTTGGGCGCCGTCTTGGCCGCTTCTTGGGCTGTCTTAGGCGCCTAAGACGGCCCAAGAAGCGCCCAAGAAGCGTTTTCCGATGATGTCTCGAGCGAAACGCTGTTTTTAAGCCCCGAAGGCCGTCCTACTCGATAAAAACAAGGCGGGAGGGCAATTAGATCCGGGGCTGGCGATGCCACCCCCCTCGAACTCCCCCAAATCAAATTTCTTCCGACTAACGGACCGCACGCTAACGCGCGCTTTCCGTCACCTGGCCCGGCACAGAAACGGAAAGAGCGCTGCAGCAACAGAAACCAAAATGACTCACCCCACCGTTCGTACCGGGAGCCTTGGCGTTGAGAGCTGGCTACGTCACCCCTCGCTATTGGGAGCCTTGGGGTTCAGAGATGGTTGCGTTGCCGCCCGTTCCTGAGCCTTGGCTGGGCCTCGGTGTCAGGAACTTGTTACGTCACCGCTCTCTGCTGGGAGCCTTGGTCTTAACAGCTTTTTGGCATCACCATTCGCTCTTGGAAGCCTTGGTGTAAAGAGCTGTTTGCGTTACCGATCGCTCTGGGCGTCTCTGGGCCTTCGTGGGAGTCCTATTGGGGCCCTTGTCGGGCCCTCCTGGGGGCCTCCTGGAGGCCTCTTGGGGGCCTCTTAGGGCTTCTTGGGAGGCTCTGGGGGCCTCCTGGGAGCGTCTTGGGGCGAAAGGCTAGACTTTCGGGTTCGTGGTCCCCCTCTTGGGGCCGTCTTGGGGCCCTCTTGGGCCGTCTTGGGCGCCTCTCGGGCCGTCTTGGCGCCCTCTTGGGCCGTTTGGGGGGCCTCTTGGGGCCTCTTGGGCCGTCTTGGGACGGTCTTGGGGGCCTCTTGGACCGTCTTCAACGCCGTGGCAGCCGAAAAGCCGCATATGCTAAAAATGTATGTTTTCCGATAGAAAATCGATAAGTTTGGCCTCCTGGTGGCCTCTTGGGACGCCTCTTGGGGACCGCTTGGGCCTTCTTGGGGGCTCTTGGGGCCTCACAAAAACATGCAACGGCCATCAGAACTCATCCGCCCCCCCCACGCACCCCCCTGGAACCCCCCTTAAGGGGCTTCGCCCAAAACACAACGTCATCGCTCGTACCTCGCTCTTTCCGTTACCAGGCCCGGCACAGAAACGGAAAGAGCGCTGCAGCAACAGAAACCGAAATTACGCACACCACCGTTCGTACCGGGAGCCTTGGCGTTGAGAGCTGGTTATGTCAACCCTCGCTCTTGGGAGCCTTGGGGTTCAGAGATTGTTGCGTTGCCGCCCGTTCCTGAGACTTGGCTGGGCCTTGGTGTCAGGAACTTGTTACGTCACCGCTCTCTGCTGGGAGCCTTGGTCTTATCAGCTTGTTTACGTCACCGTTCGCTCTTGGGAGCCTTGGTGTGAGGAGCTTTTGGCGTTACCGATCGCTCTCTATTTGGCGTCTCTGGGCCTTGGGCCCTTTTAGAGACCTTTTGGAGGCCTCTTGAGGACCTCTTGGGGGCCTCTTGGGGCTTCTTGGGGGGCTCTGGGGGCCTCCTAGGAGCGTCTTGAAGCGAAAGGCTAGACTGTCGGGTTCGTGGTCCCCCTCTTGGGGCCGTCTTGGGGCCCTCTTGGGCCGTCTAGGGCGCCTCTTGGCGCCCTCTTGGGCCGTTTTGGGGGCCTCTTGGGAGCCTCTTTGGCCATCTTGGGGCGGTCTTGGGGGCCTCGTGGACCGTCTCCAACGCCGTGAAAGCCGAAAAGCCGTGCATGCTAGAAATATACGTTTTCCCATAGAAAATCTATGATTTTGGCCTCCTGTTGGCCTCGTGGGACGCATCTTGGGGGCCTCTTGGGGCTTCTTGGGGGGCTGTGGGGGCCTCCCGGGAGCGTCTTGGGGCGATAGGCTAGAAGCTTTTCGGTTCGTGGTCCCCCTCTTGGGGCCGTCTTGGGGCCCTCTTGGGCCGTCTTGGGCGCCTCTTGGGCCGCCTTCTCCTCTTCGGGCGCGCTTGGGAGCCTTTTGGGGCCCTCTTGGGCTCTTTTAGGGCCCTTGGGGCCCTCTTGGCCGTATTCGGGCCGTCTGGGGGCCATCTTGGGCCGTTTTGGGCCCCTTTGGGGCGCCTCTGGGGCCGTCTTGGGGTGATCTTTGAGGCCTCTCAGACCGTCTTGGGCCCGTCTGGGGCTCCTCTTGGACCGTTTGGGTCCCGTTTGGGGCGCCTCCGGGGCCGTCTTGGGACGATAATTAGAGCCTCTGGGCCGTCTTGGGCCCGTCTGGGGGCCCTCTTGGACCGTTTTGGGCCAATTTGGGGCGCCTCTGGGGCTGTCTTGGGACGATATTTGGGGCCTCTTGGGCCGTCTGAGGCCCTTCTGGGACGGAAAAGGGGAGAACCCGAAAAACCTGCAAAAACCTGGGGTAATCAAGGTTTTTGGCCTCCCGAGGCCCTCTCGGGGGCCCTCTTGAGGGCCTCTGGGGCCGTCTCGAGACTCTCTTGGACCGTCCAGCGGCCATCTGAAGCTCTCCTGGGGCCGTCTTGGGGCCCTCTTGGGCCGTCTTGGGGCCATTGGGCCGCCTCACCTGAAAAAATACAAAGAGACGGGCCACGGGAGCCGCCCGGGAGCCGCTTCACCCGAAAGAATACGAGGGAAACGGGCCATTAGACCAGCGTGCGCGGGCCTCGCCCCTCCCCTGGACCCCTCCCTAGAGGGCTTCACCCCAACTCAACGTCATCGCTCGTACCTCGCTCTTTCCGTCATCCGCCGCCCCCTGTTGGCTCGCCCCAGGAGTGCCCGGCGTGCTGGATGTTCTGAAAGGTTTGTGGTTCTGTTAGAGCTCCCCCCAGGCCTTCGGCACAGCGCGCCGGACACCCGGAAGACCTGGTTGCAAAGGTTTTTGCTGCTCCCAATGGCTCCAAGATGGCCCAAGATGGCCCCCAAGACGGCCAAGATGGTCCCCAAGTTCGGATGGTCCAAGATGGCCTCCAAGACGGCCCAAGAGAATATAAGATGCCTCCAAGTTCGCCCAAGAAGCCTCCAAGACGGCCCAGACGGCTCAAGAGGCTCCCAAGAGGCCTCCCAGAAGGCACAAGAGGTCTGCAAAAGGTCCTCCAGGGAAGCCCGAAGGGGCCAACCCATTGATTTTCATTAGGTTTCTGAAGGATTTGGTCATCTGCTTCTTTTCGGTCTTACGACGGCCCAAGAGGCCCCCAAGATCGCACCAAGGTGGCCCCAAGATGGCCCAAGTGGCCTCCAAGACGTCCAAGATGGCCTCCATGACGGCCCTGAAGCGCCACAAAAGAGCCCCAAGTCGGTTCACAGAGGCACCGAAGACGCCTTCTGACGGCGTCGGACAGGCCAGGAGCGCCCGAAGGCGGCCAAAGCAGCCCCGAACAAGCCCCCAAAGGCTCCCGAGAGGCCCAAGGAGGCCCCCAAGAGGCCTCCAAGAGGCTCCCAGGAAGCTCCCAGAAGACCCCAAGAGTGCCCCCAGAGGCTTCCAAGAGGCGTCCTCCTCCTCCTCCTCCTCCTCCTCCTCCTCCTCCTCCTCCTCCTCCTCCTCCTCCTCCTCCTCCTCCTCCTGTGGGTTACAAGGATCACGCCGCATCGCCGATGCGCATCGGCGATGCGGCGCGATTCTCGGACCCCCCCTGCTCGGACCCCATCCGTGAGGCGGCGGGCCCCGTGGCAGCGGCGGGGAGGCGTCGGGCGGCGGCGACGGCGCGGACAGCCGAGGGGGAGGGGGGGGGGAGGAAGCGGCGGGGAGCGCAGGGGGAGCGCGGCGCCCGGAGCAGGTAGTCGTGGTACGTCTCGCCGGGGAGGAAGGGATTGCCTGGGCTGGGCGGCTGGCGTGATCATCGACCCCCCCCACACACTCAAAATAAAACATGCCTGCCCGTGTTGGACACCCGTGGGCGACGCTCTGTCGCTGTATTGTGCCTGCACTGATGGGCAACGCCTACATCGCAGAGGGGGGGGCCGGGAAGGGGACGTGGTGCCACTCCATGGCAGAGAATGTTGCCCCGAGTTCTGGCCGCCGCGATCGCCGCGGCGACCTCCAAAACCGACCCGGAGGCTTCGGTCGGGGCCGAATCTCATGCAACGATCGATTTGGGGATCGACTACGGAATTGACTTACCCCAGAATTCATGTTCCCGTCGAAGCTGCGATAAACAGTAACACGTTCCGTAGATCTACGGCACGTTCCACACATTCTTCGCACACTCGGCGAAAGAGTCGATCCTGGGGTGAATCCATTCTGTAGTCGATCCCCTGCTCGAAACGAGGGGTGGCAGGGGGAGCAGCACCGCCGGGCCGAGGTCCCCCTCGCCTCCAGGCACTCGGAGCAGATCCGCGTCCTCCCGTTACTCGGCCACTGGGGGACCCCGCCGGGCCGGGGGGCCGTCGGCAAAACGACTCGGGAAGCAGAGCGGGCCCTGGGAACAGGGGAGCCAACTTTTCTCGTCGGCGGCGAAGCGGAGGCAATCCGCAACAGCGTGGGGCGAATCGGGGCAACATCTCGGCAAATTGTCCGGAGTGCAAGAGAGAGAGAGAGAGGCGAAGACGAGGGCGGCCGCGCGAAGGGGGGAGGGGGAGGGCGCTCAGACGTGGAAGAGTTCTGATACACTGGCATAAACGCAAAAAAACTCAGAGATCCGCGCGGATTCCTCGGATCGGCGTTGGGGCCCTCTCGCGGCGCCTCCAGCGCCGCCCCTGGCGCGCCGAAGAATTCGCCAGGACCTTTGAGTTTTTGCTTGTTGGTGTCACTGCTTGTCCCCCTGGGGAAAGGACTGGGACTTCACCGGGGGAGAGCAGGGCGAGAGAATGATATCATGATACGATTGGCTGAGGGTACGCTCCAGGATTCCCAACGAGTATCTAGCCGCTCTCGTTTCTGCAGCCCGTGTGAAGGCTCGGAAATGTTGGAAATCCTAGAAACCTTGAAAATCTTGGAACGTATCATTATCATCAGGTCGGGCGTATCTCCCTACTGGCAGATGTTCGAAGAATGCCCAAAACAGTCGAAAAATCATCGAGACATCGTCCCCACACGATTTCTGGACTATTTCTGCGCATTCCCCCTGCAGAGGGACATGCCCGACTGAACAGTGTCGTGCCCTTGTGCTCCTCTGGGAGTGGCTGCGCCGGCCTCGCAACGCTCCACAGCGTGCGGTCTCCTATAATAGTATATGGTTTATATGTCTTAACAACCAAACAACAACAACAACAACAACAACAACAACAACAACAACAACAACAACAACAACCACCACCACCACCACAACAACAACAACCACAACAACAACAACAACAACAACAACAACAACAACAACAACAACAGCAATCACTTTACCCGAACGCTCAGTGTTCTCACCAGTGCCAGGGTTTTCATGCGACGCCAGCCAATACCCCCACTTTGTGGGGGGGCAGTGCAAGCTCTACCAAATATCCACACGACTCTTCGCCACCACCCACACCCAGCTTCCCGCCCTATGACGTTCGGACACTTCACTTCGTGGCCTGCGGACGACCGTGGCTACTACACTGGCATAGTGTACACTACGCTGGCGCAACCTATGGCGCAACCAATAGGGGGACGTTTTATTCTCGGCGGCCGAGGGCGCAACCTATGGCGCAACCGCAAGGGATTGTGGCCCCTGGCAGGCGCGCGAACCCCGTTGCAAGAGCGTGCGAAAGTAGCTCGCGCGAGCTCATGTAACATAAATGTTGGAAAACCATTGGTTTTTTTAGGATTCGGACAGCGCGCGCGGGTAGAAATTTTGAAAAGTCGTGCAGGTGTTTTTCGAGGACCTACGGTGCGATTCGTGTGATTTTATGATGCGCGGTGCTAAAATTCTTAAGAAGCCCAATGGTTTTTGGAGATTTCGGCGTGCGCGCGCGAAGAAAAAACGAATGTGTCCCGCATGGTATTATTTGACAGGGATGATGGCCCTGGCAGGTGCGCAACCGTTGTCGCAGAAGTTCGAAAAAGTTGCTCGCAAAAGCCCGTTTGACAGAAATGTTTAAAAAGTGTTGGGTTTCCTACGAATCCGCAAGAGCGCGCGGGATGAGATTTTGACAATTTTTTGTTGAAAAACCATTGGTTTTTTGATGTTTTTATGTTAAAATCGCTGCGAACACTAAGCTTTTGGAAGGATTTCGTCTTGCGCGCGCGAATGTCCACTTTACCTTATTTTTTGCAAGGGATTCTTGAAATTTGATTATATTAGAACAAGAAATGTCATTTTCTATTGTTTTTTGCAAGGGAAAGCGGATTACAACAAAACAACCGGATCCTGTACACACCCTCTTTTCTGAGGCTTCCTCACGAAAATGATGAAAATGTAGCTGCGGCCTAGGCGGCGCAGGGGGGGCGCGCACCAGGGGGCCCAACAATAATTATTCTTTAGAATAAATAATGTTCAACAGCAACAACAGCAACAACGACAACAACAACAACATCAACAACAACAACCACCACAACAACAACAGCAACAACAGCAACAACAACAACAACAACAACAACAACAACAATTACTAGCACGTGGGGACACTCCGTTCTCACCAGTGCCAGGGTTTTCATACGACGCCCGCCAATACCCCCACTTTGTGGGGGGGCCGGTTCAAGCTCTACCACATTTCCAAACGACTCTTCGCCACCACCCACACCCAGCTTCCCGCCCTATGACGTTCGGACACTTCACTTCGTGGCCTGCGGACGACCGTGGCTACTACACTGGCGCATGGGTACAGTGACTTGTTGTGGTAACCCAATGGTTTTTGAAGATTTCGGCGTGCTAAAATTCCTAAGAAACCCAATGGTTTTTGAAGATTTCGGCGTGCGCGCGCGAAGAAAAAACGAATGTGTCCCGCATGGTATTATTTGACAGGGATGATGGCCCTGGCAGGTGCGCAACCGTTGTTGGAGAAGTTCGAAGCACGAAAAAGTTGCTCGCAAAAGCCCGTTTGACAGAAATGTTTAAAAAGTGTTGGGTTTCCTACAAATCCGCAAGAGCGCGCGGGATGAAATTTTGACAATTTTTTTTGAAAAACCATTGGTTTTTTGATGTTTTTATGTTAAAATCGCTACGAACACTAAGGTTTTGGAAGGATTTCGTCTTGCGCGCGCGAATGTCCACTTTACCTTATTTTTTGCAAGGGATTCTTGAAGTTTGGTTATGTTAGAACAAGAAATGTCCACTTTGCCTTATTTTTTGCAAGGGAAAACCGCCCGTAACAAAACAACCGGATCCGGACCAACCCGTTTTGCCGGAGACTTCCTCACGAAAATGATGAAAACATGGCTGCGGCCTAGGCGCGGCGAGGGGGCCGTGCACCAGGGGCCCCAACAATAATTATTCTTTAGAAGTAATAATGTTCAACAACAACAACAACAACAACAACAACAACAACAACAACAACAACAACAACAACAACAATTACTAGCACGTGGGGACACACCGTTCTCACCAGTGCCAGGGTTTTCATAGGAGGCGGGCAATACCCCCACTTTGTGGGGGGGCCGGTTCAAGCTCTACCAAATTTCCAAACGACTCTTCGCCACCACCCACACCCAGCTTCCCGCCCTATGACGTTCGGACACTTCACTTCGTGGCATGCGGACGACCGTGGCTACTATTCAGGGCCCCGCGGCCGACGACGACGGCGTGCGCGCGCGAAGAAAAAACGAATGTGTCCCGCATGGTATTATTTGACAGGGATGATGGCCCTGGCAGGTGCGCAACCGTTGTCGCAGAAGTTCGAAAAAGTTGCTCGCAAAAGCCCGTTTGACAGAAATGTTTAAAAAGTGTTGGGTTTCCTACGAATCCGCAAGAGCGCGCGGGATGAGATTTTGACATTTTTTTGTTGAAAAACCATTGGTTTTTTGATGTTTTTATGTTAAAATCGCTCCGAACACTAAGCTTTTGGAAGGATTTCGTCTTGCGCGCGCGAATGTCCACTTTACCTTATTTTTTGCAAGGGATTCTTGAAATTTGATTATATTAGAACAAGAAATGTCATTTTTCTATTGTTTTTTGCAAGGGAAAGCGGATTACAACAAAACAACCGGATCCTGTACACACCCTCTTTTCTGAGGCTTCCTCACGAAAATGATGAAAATGTAGCTGCGGCCTAGGCGGCGCAACAACAACAACAACAACAACAACAACAACAACAACAACAACAACGACAACGACAACGACAACGACAACAACAACAACAACAACAACAACAACAACAACAACAACAACAACAACAACAACAATAAGTATATATATATGTATAAATACTCGCTCGCCGCCGCCCCCAGGGTCGGCGGCGAGCGAGGGGGGGGGAGGGGAGCAGGGGAACGGATGAGGAGGACGGAGGTCGGAGGACGGAGGAGGGCAAGCGAGGGTCGAGGAGGAAGGGGCTCTCGCCTGGCCTCGGAGGGGGCGCTCGCCGAGCCTCGGAGGGGCCTCGGACGGGGCTCCGCGCGCGACGCCCGGAGGAAGCCCAAGACGACCGAGCACCTGGGCGCCCGGCTCTCGGCTCTCGGCGGCGCGCGAGGGGGGGGAAGCGAGAAGGAGAAGGCCTTCTCGGAAGGCGGCGGGACTTCTCAGAAGCCCTCGCGCCTTCTGAGAAGCTGTTGGTGTCTTCGGGGAAGGCCTGGAAGGCTTCTCGAAGAAAGGGGGACCTCCGACCCTTCCGAGAAGGCCTTCTCCTTCTCGCTTCCCCCCCTCGCTCGCCGCCGAGATTTAGCGTCCCCTCCAGGAGGAGGAGGAGGAGGAGGGGGAGGGGGAGGAGGAGGGGGAGGAGGAGGAGGGGGAGGGGGAGGAGGAGGGGGAGGAGGGAGGAGGGGACTTCCCCCCCTCGCTAGCCGCCAACTGAAGCCGAGGGCCCAGGGCCCCGGTCGGAGATGTCGGGAGGCAGCTGCAGGGAGGTCTGCGCAAATACGACTGAGGGGCTGCCGGTCCCGCTTCGGAAGCCACGGAGCCAGACCGGCCCAGATTGCGCAAGCTCGGAAGAGAGCCAGGCGAGCGGGATTTGGCGGGGGCAGGCGGGAGTTGGCCGCTCTCAGACCATGGATGTGCCAGCGCCGATGCCGCAATTGACCTCCCAGGAGCTGCATGCTGGGGGGGGGATCCGCACCGCCAAGAGGCAGCCACGTCCACGGCTGCCGGGGCGCCTCCCTGAGTCCCAAGGGAGCGGACGCGGGCACCGCCAGTGGGGGGGGGGGACGCGAGAGGGCGCAGGACTCGTCCGAGCGCAGCTTTGTGGCTGTGTGCACCTCCCTCGTGGGTGGACAGGCACTCCTAGCTGCCGCTCTTCGAGGAGTCTTAGAGATCCACAAGGAGGTGCGAGGCCGTGGACGCGGATTCTCTCTGGCGGCCAGAAGCAAGAAGAAAGGAGAGAGGGCGGGAGCAAGCTCGAGGCGGAATCCAACCGGCCCTCTGGGTAGCTCAGGTCGTTTCCTCGCGTTCTCTTCCAGGCCCCCTCCTTCCCGCTCGGGGAGGGGATTGCGGCAGGTTCGCGTGGTGACGACTCCGGCGCTGGTTCCTGACGCCGCGTGGATCGCTCAGCCTTCAACGATCGGCGGCCCTTCGATCGCGAGATCGCTCGATCTGGTCGATTTTGGGCCACCAGCGGCGTTCAACCTTGAACGCCCGCGGCGGGCTCGCAGCCGCGTCGACATGGCACGAGCCGACCGTGCCCAGACCTCGCCTGGCCCCGCGAAGAGGATATCCTCCTCCTCCTCCTCCTCCTCCTCCTCCTCCTCCTCCTCCTCCTCCTCCTCCTCCTCCTCCTCCTCCTCTTTTGGGCCAGGGGCCTCCAGGAGGCGTCGCGGGGGCCTCCCGAGGCTCACGGGACCTGTGGGGCGCCCAGGACGCCGGAAGCTGTTGGCCTCTCCGAGACCTGGAGGGTCTTGGGGCCCTCATGCGGCCCTCTTGAGGCTCTCTCTCTCTCTCTCTCTGGGGCCGTCTAGGGCCTCTGCTGGGCCCGTCGTGGGGCTCTCTCTTTCTCTCTCTCTCTCTCTCTCTCTCTCTTTGTCTCTCTCTCTCTCTCTCTTTCTATATATATGTGTGTATGTAAGTATATGTGTGTATATGTATATGTCTATCGTTCTATCTTTGGGGCTCGCATGAGGCCATATGAAACCTCAAGAGACCGCCGATTGCAAAAAGGCGTCGACGGCAAAAATGATTGACTTCATGGTTTGGGCCTCTCGGGGGCTTTCTTCAAGGCGTCATAGGACCATCTTGGGCCAACCTGGAGGCTGTCTTGGCGTGTCTTCTAAGGTGTTGTCTCCTAGTCTGATCTTGTATCAGCTTGTCTGGCGGGCCACCCCGGGAGGAGCAAAGTCTCGTCTGGGTGCGCGTGGCCCCCGACTCCGGTGCACCTGGGTGCGCGTGGCCCCCGACTCCGCTGGACCTCCGAGGAGCCCACGCAAGTGGCGACATTTGCGCAGCTCGCAGCCTCCCAGGGAGCTGCGAGGCCTCGGCTGAGTGCACGTGCTCCGCTACTCCCAGAAGCCCACGAAAATGGCGACACTTGCGCAGCTCGCAGCCCTCCAGGGAGCTGCGAGGTCCCGTCTGGGTGCGCGTACTCCGCACTCCGCCGTGCCTCGCAGGAGGCCACGAAAGTGGCGACAACTGCGCAGTTCGCAGCCCCAGGGAGCCGTTTACTCCCCAACTCCGCCGTGCCTCCCAGGAGCCCACGAAAGTGGACATTTGCGCAGTTCGCAGCCTCCCGGGGAGCTGCGAGATCTCACATGGGTCTGTTTACTTCCCGACTCCGCCGTGCCTCCCAGGAGCCCGCGAAAATGGCGACAGTTGCGCAGTTCGCAGCCTCCCAGGGAGCTGCAAGGTCTCAAACGGGTCCACTTACTCCCCGACTCCGCCGTGCCTCCCAGGAGCCCACGAAAGCGGCGACAGCTGCGCAGCTCGCAGCCACCCCAGGAGCAGCGCAGGAGGAGGCAGGAGGGGGGGAGGAGAGGGAGAAGACAGTGTGCGACCTCAGTGCTTTATGAAAACGAAACCCAACACACGGGAGGGTTCGGAAGGCTGCCACATCGCGAAAAACCGCGACCGGAGCCCCCCAGACCCCATCTCTCTGCGGCATGTCTCGCACCGGATCGATACGCGAAGGTCCCAGGGCACGAAACGGGGCGAAGCCGCCTGGCGTGCCAAAATTCCCAGGACACCCGACGTCATAATTTGTTCTTCACGTTGACCCCAGGGGTTAATAATTTGTTCTTAATTTGTTTCCCGACGTCATAATTTGGTCATAATTGTTAATGACCCCTTCCCCAGGACCGGTTTTTCGTCCCGAGTCGTTTCGTTGGCGGTCCCGGGGCCCAGCGAGGACCCCCGGGAGGCCGAAAGTAGCGGAAAGCCTCCGTCGTGATTTTTGTCACCACGCGAGGGGGTCTGGGCTGCGGGGTTGCAGCGCTCAGAACTCGGGGCCCCCCTGGCCCCCTGAGACGCCCGTGCCTCTGGGCCCCCCCCCGCCTGGCGCGGCCTCGCCCATGATCTCCTCCGCGGGCCGCAGCAGCCACGCCTCGACGGCGGGCACCTTCCTGTGGTAGAGGTACGCGGAGCGCACCAGCTCCCGCGGAGTCCGCACGAGCGCCCGGGTCTCGGAAGAGGCCGGAGGCCCCGGGGACGGCGGCGGGACGTCTCGGAAGCCCCTCGCGCCTTCTGGCAGGTCTTCTCGGGGGACTTCCCAGACTCGGCGGCGCGCGAGGCGGGGAGGTGAGAAGGAGAAGACCATCTCAGAAGGCGGCGGGACTTCTCGGAGACATGTTCTGTGTCTTCTGGGACATTTTTCTGTGTCTTCGGAGACATGTTCTGTCTTCGGGGAAGGATTAGAAAACTTCTCAGACGCCCAGGGGACGTCCGAGCCTTCTGAGAAGGCCCGCCCCTTCTCACTTCCCCCCCGCGCTGCCCGCCAATAGGCGCTTCGCGCAGACCCCACCAGCTCATCCAGAAACGATGCCCAGGGAAGTTGCTCTGATCAGAGATGTGGAGGAGCATGCAGCGGAATAGAGGGCTGGGGAAGCCGTCCTACCCCAAGAGGGGGAGGATGGGGGAAGAGTCCGAGCAGCAGGAGGAGGAGGAGGAGGAGGAGGAGGAGGAGGAGGAGGAGGAGGAGGAGGGGGAGGAGGGCGAGCAGGAAGGTCTCTAGGATGTCGGATGCCTCTCGGATGCCTCTCGGAAGCGCTCCGGATGTTTCTTGGGAGCTCCTTGAGGTACTCTTGGGGCACCTTGGGCTATCCTGGCGGGCACGGGGGACCCTTGCAGCGTCGTGGGTACCTCGGGGCAGAGCCTCTGGGCTGGGGGCACATCGGGGGTCTCTTGTCCTGGGAGCCTCTTGGGAGCTTGGGGACGTCTTGGGGACCTCGTGAGAGCATTAGGGGCATCTTGGGGCCCTTTCGGCGCACTCTTGGGGGCCGTGGGGCCATCTTTCTTGGAGGAGCTCAATCATAGGAAAGGGGAGTCAGCTGGCCCCCCCACCCAGGAGGCCGAGATGAGCCCAAGCCTTGGAAAAAAGAAATGATTCTTGCCTTCTCGCCGAGGCCTTCTTGGACGCTACACTCGGTCGCGGGGCCTCCCGTCCAGGTCCAGGGGAGGGGGGAGGGGGAGGCGTCAAGACACCCTCCCCGGCAGCAAGCCGTCTCGCTCACCCCCACCCGCCCTCCCAACACGTAAGTAGCACCCGAGCCGCAGCGTGTTCAGCGGTAGTGTTTGGATGGACAGCTAGTGGGAACCAAAACAGACCCCATCTGCGTAACGCAGGGGCGAGGTGCGCCATGCGTGCCAGGCTTCTGTCGGGCCTGTCCCCCTACAGGGGGATTTTCGACGAAAAATGAAAAATACCCCAAAAAAATCAAGAAATAATCCAAAAATACTCTGTGGACTATTTTTGTTTGAATATTTGTTGACCTTTTTTGGCATATTTTTGGGGTATTTTATCTTTTCGTCGAAAATCCCCCTGTAGGGGGACAGGCCCGACATAATGCCAGGCGCGCCACACGCGCCAGGTGCGCCAGGCACCCCTGTGGCCCAAGCGTGCAAGGACGCCTGGTGCGCCAGATGCGCCACGTGATCCACGTGCGCCATATGTGCCGCATGCTCCAGCCGCGCCAGGTGCGCAACGTTCAGGGCACGCGCAGAGCGTGTCAGGTGCGCCTGCGCACGTGGCAGTGCACATCAGGAAACGTGTCGGCCTCCACCCACCACCCTTGTCGAAAACCAGTGCGCAATCGCGGCCTGGTGGCCATCATAGCGTCTAGTTGGCCTGCACATAGCAGGCAATATGCCAGCACCCCCGCCGTCCCAGTCAAAAGCCAATGCACAGTGATCACGGGATGTTCGCGCATGACCCAGATTTTGCCTCGAAGTGCATGTTGTATTTGTTGTGACAGGGATGCTGGCCCTGCGCAAAGCAGGCAATATGCGGGTACCTGCGCCGACCCTGTCAAAAAACAATACAAAGTGCTCGCGCCCCCGATCATGACCTACGATTTTGCCCCAAAGTGGACTTCACATTGTTTCCTGACAGGGGTGGTGGGGGGGGAGGTCCCATTGGTCCTGGTTGGCTGCCGGTCGCCTGGGGGAGGGGGTGTTTACTAATAGCGAACAAAGATTGAACCCCTCCCCGAAGGGGAAGAAGGGGGATTGGAAGAGGAAGCTTGCTCAACCTCTCACGCCCTGAAGGGCTGGTGAGGTGTTTGGGGGTTTTGGGGGGGATATGCCTCCTTTCCCCCCTCCTTCTACCATCCTATCCTCATCCCCCCTCCTCCCCCCTCCTCCTCCCCTCCGCCTCCTTCTCTCCCCTCCTTCCCTGCTTCATCTCCCCCTCCCCCCCTCCTGGGGAGGGGGGAGGTCGGGAGGAGTACTCAGGTTTCGCTTCGACGTTTTAAGAGGGGTATGGGCGGGAGTAGGCGGAAGCAGGAGGCGTAGGGTGAGGGAGGAGGGGCAAGGGCAGGAGGAGGAGCGGATGGAGGAGGAGGGAGGGGAGGGCGGAGGACAGGAGGGCGAGGGGGGGAGGGGAGGGGGAGGGGAGGGGGAGAGGGAGGAGGAGGGGAGCAGAGAGGCGATGGAGGAGGCTAGGAGGGAAAGCACATGAGGCCTCTTCCCCCAGCGGCCAGCGCAGGGACCCGCGCCGCCGGGGAAACCCTCGGCGAGAAGGCAAGAATCACTGTTCTTTGTAGGGTTTGGGGCCATGTTGGCCTCCCAGGGGGGGGGGGGGGGGGGGGGGGCGAATTGACTACCCCCCCCCCTCGAACTCCTCCAAGATGGCCCCAAGATGGCTCCAGGGCCCCCAAAAGTGCGCCGGGAGGGCCCCGAGATGGCCCCCAAGGCCCCCAAAGGGGCCCCCAGGAGGTCCCCAAGAGGCTCTCAAGAGGCCCCCCAGGAGGCCCCAAGAGGCTTTCCTCCGAGGCACCCAAGACGCTCAAAGAGGTCCCCGGGACCGCCAGGAGCCCACAAGATGCCCCACGAGTAATTCGTTGAGCTCTCAAGAGGCATCCGAAGAGATTCCAAGAGGCATCCGAAGAGATTCCGAGGGGCATCCGAGAGGCCTCTGACCTTCCTGCTCGCCCTCCTCCTCCTCCTGCTCGGACTCTTCCTCCATCCTCCCCCTCTTGGGGTATTCCGCTGCATGCTCCTCCACATCTCTGATCAGAGCAACTCCCCTGGGCATCGTTTCTGGATGAGCTGGTGGGGGTTACGCGAAGCGTCTATTGGTGGCTAGCGCGGGGGGAAGTGAGAAGGAGCAAACCTTCTCAGAAGGCTCGGAAGTCCCCTGGGCGTCTGAGAAGTTTTCTAATCCTTCCCCGAAGACACAGAAAATGTCTCAGAAGACGCGAGGGCTTCTGAGAAGTCCCGCCGCCTTCTGAGATGGTCTTCTCCTTCTCACTTCCCCGCCTCGCGCGCCGCCGAGTCTAGGATACGCGGGAAAACCATACATCCAGAAACCTCCCGACCACCTCCGCTGCCCCCTCCCCCCAGGGCCCCCAGCATCCCGCGCCCGGGAAGTGCACCAGCCGGGAGCAGTCCTGGACGACGACGGACGCTGACGACGACGACGCCGACGCCGACGGCGGCGACGGCGGCGGCGACGGCGGCGGAGGCGACGGCGGCGGAGGCGGAGGCGACGACGGACGACGACGGACGACGACGACGACGACCACGACGACGACGACGACGCCGGCGGCGGCGACGGCGGCGGAAGCGACGGCGGCGGAGGCGGAGGCGACGACGTCCACGGCGGCGGCGGCGGCGGCGACGGCGGCTGCCAAGTCGACGGCGACGGCGACAGCGGCGCAGCCTCCGTCACCGCCCTGGGCCTGCTCCGCGACGCATGCTGGCCAGGGGGAGGAGACGGAGGAGGAGGCGCGCACCACCTGGCGCGACGGGAGATCCGAGGCGCGGGCAGCTACTATATGGAGTGCCTTCCAGGGGGAGGGACTTACCAGGGCCTGGGATGGAACGCACGCCACTGGTCAGAAAGGGGGGGGGGACCATCAATTTTTTTGCGGCACCCACCCCGACCAGGCGGTCGAGGCGGCACCCGACAGGCCCCCCCCCACATTAAATCGGATCAAGTGGTTTCCCCGTGCGCGGGTGGAGGCCACGAGACGCGTGCTTAATCTTGGTCGCCTGGGAACTCCGAGTCGACGGGTGCAGGGAACGACCAAGACAACGCTTCTCAAGCCCACGGAGCAGACCTCCTGGGAGGATGACGTGGGCTGAGCACAACGAACAAAAGGCCACTCGGCCAGCCTGCTCCATCTGGTGGCCCAGGGACACAAACCGAGCGGTGAGGGTTTCAGTCGGCGGCACCTGGGCCAGGTCAGAAACGGACCCCAGGGACCGAGCAGCAGCCTCTAGCGCCGCAGGCGCCGAAGAAAAAGCCACCCCCTCCTCATCTCGCGTCGCGAACACCGCCTGCGCCTGCCACGCCTGGAAGGCGCTAGGCCCACAGCGGCGGCGGCTGCTAGAACGGAGCTGGGCGAGGGAGGAGGGGGTCTTGGCATACAGATTGCATCTCTTACACCGCCACTCCCCAGAGGACGGGAAGTGGTACAGATCGTGCTCGAGCAGCGCCAGCCCGCTCTCTCCTTCACGCTCTCGCGCACGCCGCAGCACGGGAGTCGGGGCCGAGAGCTCCTGGGCGCACGCGCCAATACTCTGAGCAAATCTGGACAGAAAATCGAAAGTCTGCCGTGTCTGTGTGATCACGGCACTCTGGACCTTCTCAAGCGTCATAGCAGCAGCGTGGGAGTCCGCTCCGATACGCGCAAAAAAGTCGGCCCACGCGTTCCCTAAAAAGTTGTGCACCTCGACCTCGGATCCCGACGCGACCACAACATCCCAATCACGGTGAGCGGGTGTCCATTCGAACGACGGCCTGGGACCAGGGCGGTCATACAACTGAAAGATCTGCCTCCAGACAGCGGCGTGACGGCCTCCGCTGGCCGCCAAGCCAGGGTCCCACGACTGCCCCTCCAAGACCGCGCTCAGGTGGTCTGACACCACATGCACATTCAGGGGCAGACTCTAAGCGCCTGGAAAACCGCAAACATCTCGGCCCGAGGCACCGTCTGAGCGCCGCCAGGCAACCCCCCGAAG